TATTGGTAGGGACTATTTTGTCTTCCCCACATACTGGTTGTGATATGACCCCACCGTCCCTGTGCAAACCTACGCCCTTGGAGGTGGAACAGGAGTTTGAAGAAATGTTTGATATTTCATGTTAATGTTGAATAATCTTTCAATTGTGGGATGTTTCATTGTATTTTAATCCATGTTTGAGTCAAATATATTTAATCTAATGTGTGTAAATGTAAATTTAGTAATTTAGTAAATTTTGTATGTAACACACAGCTATAATATTCAATTTTGAGCCCTTTTGGGTTTTTTTTCCTCTTCTTGTACCTACTTTTTGATCTAGTATGGGTACGATATTTACTGCAATATTTTGTGAAGGCTTACAAAATTGTGAATATGCTACTTTTTCCTTTTAAAATGCCATACCAGCTTGTCAAAGCCTGATCTCGTCAGATTTCAGAAGCTAAGCAGGCCGGGCCTGGTTAGTATTTGGATGGGAGATCACTGGGAATTCCAGGTGCCACAGTGGGGCGCCTGTCGCAAAAACTGTCCTTGTGTCCTTAGGCAAGACACTTCACCCACATGAAAGTGGTGTGTGTGTGTGTGTGTTGGTGGTGGTCGGAGAGGCCGATGGCGCAGATTGGCAGCCTCACTTCCATCAGTCTGCCCCAGGGCAGCTGTGGCTACAGTAGTAACTTACCACCACTGTGTGTTGAGTGAATGAATAATGAACTGTAAAGTGCTTTGGGGCACATGGGCACTTGAAGTTTGCCTCTTCCTGCACTTACTTTTTAATGTAGTGTGTCTTTTTTATTGTTATATGTTATATTTTGAACTTGAGATGTAGACAGACTAATAAAGAATTACTCAAACATGCGTGAATGAAACAAAACACAACTCCAGGTCTGTTTTTGATGTTTGTTTGTTAACAACATTAAATCATCCACTTTATATATAGCTCATGACTTAAAGCTCACCAGAATCTATTTTGTGTAACATGGGCCCTTTAAACTCATCAACTACACAAACATTCCCACATGCTCGCGCTCTAACACAGTGGCGCATCAATGTATACAATTCTCATCCACCCGCTGCGCTTCCTGTACACAGCCATCCGTCTCTGTACCGCAGCCCTCGCTAACATCCTCTAACCTCCACATTAACATCCTAAATCAGCTCGCTAACACCTCCGAGCTGTTATTCCGCTAACATTTGTGGGACCATGCATCACTGGGGCCCCGTACAGGTAGACGAGGCCGGGTCGCCACAGCCCGTGACGCCTGGAAATGTCAATTACGGCATTTCCCCCTGACATTTGTGCGTAATGGCCGACATGAGCGCGGCCGAGTCAGTCTCATTATGTCGGACGGAGAGGGGGCTGACGAGCTGTTTATTGATGGAACTCAATTGAGGTTCGAGTGCATTTCAATAAACTCATAATAAGGATCAGATTAAAGGCAAACGGGAATGACGTTTGTTTAAAGCTGCACTGTGTAACTTTTTGCTTGGGGGTCTGTCATCTAGCCTGATTCATAAGTCGGTTTCACTTCGTTTGACTTCGTAGAAACCGTCTGAACTCGCAGTGTTAGGATTCGTTTGGTCGACGGTAGGTAGGCACTTTTTTTATTTAACCAATCGCTGCTTTTTGGTCCTGACGTATGTAATGCGCCGCTAACGGGGCTAACTGGTATATTAAGCTTTTCCCAAATCTCGTAGGAAGAAGGGCAATAATGTCTTTCCCCTTGATAAAATTCACCAAATATTCTCTTTATTCTGACTTTCAATCTCAATCTCGGGAATCGTTGACAACACAGAATGTATGGCTCTTCGCTGATTGGCTGATGCCCGAACTCACACTTCCGGGGTTTTTGCGAACCGTCTAGTGTATTTTGATTCCTGACCTAGTCGCTGGAGAGAAATGAAATTGAGCAGAGGCACTAGGTGGCACCAGCCTGACTATCCATCACCTGCGTGTTTCCTGGAATGTTCCACAGTATGACATTAAACAGCTCTACCTTAATTTTGAATATGCTACTGTTTCCTTAAAATGCCTTGACAAAACTTTGGTTCTGCCTAAAACCAAAGACTTAAAAGGCCCATCTCATGCAAAATCAACTTTTCAGAGATTTCTACCTTGTGATGAGTGGGCCTTGTATTTGTCGTCGAAGTGGTTTTTAGACTGATTTGGCGTTTTTTAAACAAATTGTAGCGTATTTCTGCCACCCTCCCACATGACAACAAACTAAATCCTGCTACAACGATGACGCGGCAGCTACATCTATGACGCGTTTGATGTAGCAGAAAGCTCTTCGCACCCGCCACCCTCCACTACTCCACCACCTCCACCCCGACTGCAGTGTGCACGATATAATAAGTTTATCTACTAGTGTTTATTAATACTTTACCAATCAGTAATGTTCAGCTGTTGTTGACGCGGTGCTTGAGTTTCGTGCACCTCAAAGTCCTCGTCCGATTCCGGGTCCAACACATGCGGCTGAATGCGCTGTATCTCCAAGTTTATTCCTACCACTATCAGGGTGCACGCCTGTCTCCCCCTCCCTCCCTGAGATGGGCGGAGGAAGGGCGGCTCACTCGTCGCCTACTTCACGTTTGGAGGGCGGAGCCTGTGTTTTCTCAGGACAGGGGAGGGGGGATGAGCAATAGTCGGTCTTTCACAGTTCCTGGTCTGTGACTGATTCCAAGAAATCAGTAAGATTTCATAACTATTGTGTAATGGATGTTCCAAAACCCAAATTGTGCTTGTTTATGTGCAGAAGATACAATGTGAAAAGAGTTATTTTACATGAGATGGCCCTTTAAGATTTAAAAGTGCTTCATAAGTTGTTTCATGGTGTAAATTGGACTGAAACAGAGCAAAGGATCATGGTCTATGTAGTTCCTTCTGTTTTAGCTATTGCTGCACCATAACAATGAATTTAAGCAAAGAGACTTCAGATTCGGTATATTGTGATGGTCCACGATATTATTGCAAGACTTACGACATATGAAATGATATGAATTGTTCCATCCCTAGAAGATACCATTTCTTTTGGTCGTCTAAGAAGCAGATGTGAGGGGAGTCCAGGCTGAGATCCTCACGCAGGACTCAGTTGGGCTTGACTTTGGCAGAGGCTGTTTGCCCACACCTGCCGCAGCGTGCCTGGTTGTTAGCATACATAAAGTGAAGCTGGTGTGAAGTTTAGAGGTGTTTTCTTCAGTGGCGCGTGCAGCTGTGTCTCTCTCTCATTATTCATTAGGAGGAGTATTGTTACCTCGTTAGGATTTCAGACTTTCAGAGTATCGGATTGTTTTACTGTTCAAACATGTCAGGTTTTGGAATTATTTTCAGTGGATTCTGCATTGGTGTGGAACATTAAACTTACCTTAAACAATATGAACAAAACTTGTAAGTGAAAATAACTTGTATAAAAACATTAACACTACAAAAAAATTCAAACAGAGGAAGGTAAATCTGTGTATCATTCGTTCATTCGTTTTTCAAAAAATGAGCCCAGAGCTCTCTGGCTCTCAAGTCCAAGATTAGTCCAGGTTTAGACCTGGTTTAGTCCTGCTTTAGGTCTGGTTTAGACCTGGTTTAAACCTAGTTCTGTCCTGGTTTAATCCTGGTTCTGTCCTGGTTTAGTCCTGGTTTAGACCTGGTTTAGACCTGGTTTAGACCTGGTTCTGTCCTGGTTTAGTCCTGGTTTAGACCTGTTTTAGACCAAGTTTAGACCTGGTTTAGACCTGGTTTAGTCCTGGTTTAGTCCTGGTTTAGTCCTGGTTTAGACCTGTTTTAGACCAAGTTTAGACCTGGTTTAGACCTGGTTTAGTCCTGGTTTAGTCCTGGTTTAGACCTGTTTTAGTCCTGGTTTAGACCAAGTTTAGACCTGGTTTAGTCCTGGTTTAGTCCTGGTTTAGACCTGTTTTAGTCCTGGTTTAGACCAAGTTTAGACCTGGTTTAGACCTGTTTAGTCCTGTTTAGTCCTGTTTAGTTTAGTCCTGGTTTAGTCCTGTTTAGTCCTTTAAGACCTGTTTTAGTCCTGGTTTAGACCAAGTTTAGACCTGGTTTAGACCTGGTTTAGTCCTGGTTTAGACCTTGTTCTGTCCTGGTTTAGTCCTGGCTAAGACCTGTTTTAGTCCTGGTTTAGACCAAGTTTAGACCTGGTTTAGTCCTGGTTTAGACCTTGTTCTGTCCTGGTTTAGTCCTGGCTTAGACCTGTTTTAGTCCTGGTTTAGACCAAGTTTAGACCTGGTTTAGACCTGGTTTAGTCCTGTTTTAGTCCTGGTTTAGTCCTGGTTTAGATCTGGTTTAGTCCTGTTTTAGTCCTGGTTCAGTCCGTCTTTGGCGCAAAAGTCTGGCATTGCTGTTTAAGTCACAGAAACGGGTTTACAAAAACTGAAAAAATGAATCGTTATCTGTTTTTTTCATTTTGGATTTGGAGATAAATAATGAAGAAAATAGTTGTTTTTTCATGTCCTTATTTTTGGTTTTATTTTGAAAAATGAATGATACACAGATCGAGGTGTATTAGTGTTTAAAAAGGTACTACACATAAGTACCACAACTGAACCTGGGTTGCTACAGTAGATTTTTTTTTACATTTTACAGTAGATTCTTTTTTACTTCACTACATTTGAGAGCATGTATCTGTGCTTCCTTCTCCACTACAATTTTGATCTGAACATAAAAGTAAATAGTACTTTTATTTATGGTTTGAGACTTATTTTTAGTACATTTAATTTGAGTTAACTCGTCAAAACTTTGAGTAAACCAAATACACAAACACACAAAAACAGTTCGAAAAATTAAGAAATCAGTTGAATCACTTGAAATCAGCTAAATTCTTTATCAAAATCACTACATTTGGTTCTAGTTCTAAAAAAATCTCCGCAAAAGATTTTTGACTTTTTACTCTGAAAGTACATTTTTAAACTGGTACTTCAATACTAATCTTTTGCCCCTGTATCTGTACTTTTACTTAAGTATAAAAAAAAAACGGAGTAAATGTATGGAGACAGCGTACCACTCCGATGGAGAAGTAGTTGTTGATGATGCTGTAGGGGGCGGGGTCTCCTTGCTCCTCTTTGTCTGTGGGGGTGACGTCAATCCTCCAGCGGTCCAACAGAACCTCCGAGCTGTTCTCCACATCACGCAAGATCTTCAGCAGAGACTCCCCCTCGTATCCTGGGCACAAACACACATTTAGAGGGGTGGAGGACCGAGGTGCATGGTGGAGCTTTCTTTATCTTGTCATAGGTTTTAATTACTTTTCAACTTAAAGGTCTTATATTACTCAAAATTGACTCTTGTGAGCTTTAAAGGTTGTATAGAGGATTTTCCAAGGAACGAGAAATCCAGCGACTGTTTGTCCTTTTTCAAATGTTGCGCATGCGTGAAACCCCCCCCTCCCCTACAGCTCCCTACGTAGAAACGCCTCCTCCCGCCTCCTCTTTACGCCAGAAACAGGTTTGTTTACAGCCGGTGAGCTGCACATGACTTGTAAACAACTAACTACAGTGTTGGTTAGGCAAGACGGAGAAGTGAGGAGCGGGGGGCGGGTGTGCGGACATTTCTTCGCGGACGAGAAGTGAGGAGCAGGGAGAAGAGTGGAGCAGGGAGCAGGGAGAGAGAGAGGAGAGAGAGAGAGGGAGCGGGGCGCGGAGATTCCGTGCCCGGAGAAGTGAGGAGCAGGGGGAAGAGTGGATCGGGCAGCGGGGACAGGAGTAGGAAAGGGGAGCAGAGAAGGTTGCGTGGAGATTCAGTGTGAATGAACTAGCTACAACACGCAGCAGCAAGCGGACTCTTTCTTTGCCTTGAAAATTACGTTTTCAGACATAGGATATCGCTTTCGTGTCCTGAAAAACGTTTGACTAGCTCTTGGAAATAAAGTACGTTTTCATAATAAGCAGAAGTTTCCTGTCCAGGAGTAATTTGTGGACCAGTGCGTCAGTCTTTAGACCCTGCGTCTGCTTCAGTCGCACCATCGCTGTAATGAATCTTCAAGAATCACCTTAGTTTGGCTTCGTTGCTTTTCCCCTTTCTTTCAGCGACCTCAAAAACGGACTTTCTTTTGCGGCGAACTGCTCCTGGATTCTTGTCGCCATTGCAACAAACTTTGTGCTAACTGCGAGGAAGATATAGGTCTTGTGTCTGTGGACTGCGTGACAGGCGTACGCAAACCACATAACGGCGGCGCGCAGACAAGTCAGTTACGCTAGAAACATAGGGAGTTTGATTGACAGCCTGTCAGCTCACAGATAACGAGGCAGTGTCATTATCTATTGGCAAATGTTTAGCCCCACTACGTCCAGAGTTGATGAATTTTTATTCTCTTTTTTTTGGTCATCATAATTACAAGGCTACTGCACCTCTATAATGCTATCATTGACAACTTGAAACAAAAAAAAAAAAAAAAAAATCCTCCATACAACCTTTAAGTCGTGTTAGAATGTCGTTAACTTGAGTTGTGTTTTGTTTCATTCACACACGTTTGAGTAACCCTTTCTCACTAGTGTGTCTACATCTTCAGTGCTCAAAATGTTCTGTTCCAACTTGTGATGTCATCAAGCTGTAGTTTTCACGATAACAGCTACCATTTATATTTAGTTTAATAGAGATTGGCAGTTCCAGGGCTTAAATGATCCAGATTATTCTAGTGAAAGCTCTGGGTGGGTCCTGTGGTGGAAATTTATATTGTGGAAAGATTTCTCTCAGTCTGTCTTTGTGTAACAGCTCAGCAGACACAACTGTCTCACCCCCCACAGGAAAATATTGATTATGATTGATTCAATTAAAATAGTGATTAGTTTATCTTTTAGACACATTTGGTCTTGTAACTAAAACTCATTTGGTTTGGTATTTAGGGCTGCAGTCTCCAAAGGCTACTTTTTTGGCTGCATATGTCACTTTCAAGGCCTGTCCCATTTCGTGCAGCCCTCAAACGCAGCCCACTTTTCAATGGAGATCGGGCCGTGAACGGAGGACACATCCGAGTATCCTTCGTGGCCTCCTATACACCACATGCGGTGGCAGTCAGATGTTCAAAAGCGCAGAGCAAAAAGCCCGTCTGGAGAGCGGAGAAAACATATGAGTTCATGCTTTTAACTTTAGAAAATCATTACTAATACAACTGTAAATGTAAAATATTACCGTAACCCATAAATGCATGAACCTCTGAGCTTTGAGCTAAAAGTTTGGCTAGTAATTTGCAGCTAACACGTTGAAAAGTCCACTCACACTTTCATATTTGGACAGATTTCCATGAAACACTAATAATGTTCAAAATAGTGTTCAAAGACCCGTCAATGCAAACACTTCTGTTCCCTTTTTCTCTTCCCTTTCCCTCTTGTCAGGAAGTGACAAATGCAGCTGAATATGGATGCAGATCAGATCAAGCACATCTGACTGCATCTCAATAGGAGTCGTCACCTTCTCATTTTGAAATATATGTCTGTGCTCTGGTCATCTCAGTGTGGATAAACTTGGTGCTTTGCATCATTCGGGGTCTAACGTTGGAGGGACATGCTGCTGGTTATGAAACACTGTTGGTCTCTGGCCAGGCCAGGTCTAGGTTAGATATTCCAAAAAACTCGGGCTTTGCAAATGGATTAATTATTTATCATTAGGGGTGTGCAAAAATATGCAAATATCCATATACTGTATTGTTTAATGTGATGCTACAGTATTGATATCGTGGGACTGCTGTATCGATATATCGCTAAGAGTATTTTTTGGTATATTTTACTCAATTATTTTGTTCCAGCTACAGTTGTGTTGCTTGTTGAGAGGAAGGAAACTTATTTATGTGACACATTTAACATTTTCACTGTTCTGATGATTAAAATGATGTGTTTTATATGAACTTTGCACAAGAAGTGATTTAACTAAGACTTTTAGTATCACAGCGATGATTTAGTTTTTATTTTTATTGAACCAATACAAATCAATTTGAAATATATTGTATTGAATCGTATCGAATCGTAAGCTCATTGTATCAAGTATCGTATCGTGGCCTATATATCGAGGTATGTATTGTATCGGCAACTTCTGAACGATACCCAGCCCTACTTATCATCAAGAGATACTTAATTATTTCAACAACAGGTCCTGTCAACACGAAATAAAAACGGCCGTAATCCTGACACTGAAAATCGAGATTGAGCAACATGGTGGGAAGAAAATAATGATTTATTTATTTTTTCCCCATATTCCCCAGCCCTATGTCTGAGGAAGTAACAACATTCTAACATGGACAAAAGTTCACAAGAGTCCATTTTGCTCAATATAAAGGTGTTAAAGTAATAACATTCTAACATGGACATAAGTTCACAGGAGTCCATTTTGCTCAATATAAGTGTGTTCAAATTTGAGCTTCAATATTCTTCAGCTCTGATTAATCACCGCCTTATCAAGGGAAGGTCTGATCTTAAAAATAGGTTCTCTCGCTGACTCCCTGTGACCCGATGTCTAAATAGAGTGAGCTCGGGTACCTCCTCCCCAGCGCAGACAGCGTGCCAGGTCATTGCCCGTGCCAAGGGGAAGTATGCACACGGGGGGGTTCCGCTCCAGGTTGGCCTTATCTGCGGCAGAGCAAAACACGGCAAATCAACACAGCCAAACCCACGCACACCGGCCAACAAGAGCAGCACAGAAGGGAGCTCAACAGGGACGGCTCCCAATCATTTTTTCCCATAGACTTTCTGAAAATAATAAACAATACAAATAAATAAATAAATAGATGATAAAATAAAAGCTTGGAAGGAAGTAATCAGCTGTCAGTGTGTTAGTTTTTTGTATTAACATGACGAGCTCTGTTATTAAGTTTTGTAAAGTGCTTTTAATCCTCTTTTTTCCCGTTTTTAATAAAAAAAATGTTCGAGCAGTTGAAACCGTCAGGTATTACAACAAACTTGGTCTAAAAAAATAAATGTTCAGAAGACCAACTTAACCTCAATGGACTATCAATAATCCACATTTTAATCTTTCTTGGTTGGACAAGACAGCAAGTTTTAATTCTGACAATTTTCATTTAGTTTTAATCAAAATTTTGTCAATTAATTATGATGATAAATAATGTAGCGGCAGTAGCTCAGTTGGTAAGAGAGTTTGTCCACATTTCCGAAGATCGGCAGTTCGAATCCTGCAGTCAACATAAACATCATTGGTTGATGGTGGTTAGATCCACTGACCCACAGGTTGTCTTTGAGGCTTTGGGCAAGACACAAGTGTCTGTGCACACTGGTGTATGAATGTGTGTGTGAATGGGTGAGTGGTTCCTTGATTTAAAATGCTTTGAGTCCCTTAAAGGTGGAAAAGTGCTGTATAAACATGTGACAATTTACCCACAAAATACTGTTTCAGTCATTATATTCTGCTGACACTATGATGGTACAGATGATCCTTATTAACAGTACGTTATATTTACATAAAAGTCAGACAAGTAAAAGGTAAATTACCGTACTTTTCAGACTATAAGGCACTTAAAATCCTTTATTTTCTCAAAAATTGACAGTGCGCCTTATGTATTAATTCTGGTTGTGCTTACTGACTTCGAACCGATTTTATGTGGTACACAACGCTCAAAAATCTGTCGAAATATTTTAATATGACTTTGGTCTTCTACGAAGCTGCACCTTTGATGGATTGTCGGAGCATTACAGCTACTGTAGTCAGGAGCCTCGCAGAGGAAAGGGTGAAGTATACTTCTGCATCGACTCAACACACACTGCCGCCATTGCCTTTGTCACAGGAAGAACACTCATTGTGTCCTTGAGTCCGACAGAAATTGACCACATCAGCGCACAAGGAGCAGCTGTTTATTCAGAGCTTATAGTTTATGCAAATTATCCATGTGGTTTTTAGTTTCGTTTCTGTAAAACGTCAACAAATGTGCGCAAAGCTTAATTAAACACATTATTACTCAATGTATTTGAGTCATCCTTGTAGGAAATAAAAAAAACAAACTTAAATGATCCATCCACATTCACATTCATAATCCACATTCACCAAGACAGGGAGGCAACATCGGGCGAATTACGCCACGATCTGCCAATGAATCGTGGATGCCTGGGTTAAGGGATCAGCCTCAAGTGGTGTCTGTTTGTTTTTCGCTTAATTTGCCTTATAACCTGGTGCACCTTATGTATGAAAATAGATAAGAGAATTCAGCATTACTGATATTGCGCCTTATAATATGGTGCACCTTATAGTCCAAAAAATACGGTACCTTTAGAAATTATTCTGTCTTTAGGTTGTTTTGTTTACCATCTCTTCTGTCAATAGAAAACCCTGATGAAGCTCTGTGAATTCAGTGGGACTGCATACCCGCCCAAAACCACATTTCAACACGAAGTACCTGTTTTAAAATGTACTTAAAGAGTAAAAAGTAAAAGTCTTAAGTGCATAAGCAGTGGAGTAAAATGTACAGACACCTGCTTTAAAATGTAGAGAAGTCCAAGTAAAAAATACCCACTTTAAAATCTACTAGGTATCTGTACTTTACTTCAGTACACTGCTTTGACTTTGTTACTTCCCAGCTCTGCCCGCAGGTCATCCAGCAGCGCAGTTATATTCACACCTCGGTGCCCCCTCTTGCCCGCAGCCCCTCCACCCCACCCACCAGCCTGCCCCCTAAATCCATTTTCACTCGGCTGTAGTAGAAGCGCCAGTCAATCTGAATGCCCAGCGGTGCGGCCTATTTCGGTCTCTGCATTTGGCCCCGGCCGTTATTACCTTTCTTTGTTTTGATTGATAAAAAATTGCAGCAATTTTTGAGCTCCCGAAGAAGCAACACGTGTCTTCAAGGCCAGATACACAAAACCAGCTTTTTTTTATTTATTTTGTTTTGTTGTTTTTTTTTTTTTTCAAATGATGACTAATTTGTTGTTTTCCCACTTGGGCAATCATTCCATTTTCCGCGAATAGGCAGACCAACGCCAAATCAAAGTATTTATGTACCAGCTATAAAGGAGCTCGGTTTGTGTGGACGTCTCTGGAACTAATAAAACAAATGCAATTCTAGCTCCCAAAATAGGAAGCAGGTTATTTCTACCCCCGCGAAGCCTTATCAGAGAATGAATGATGTACAATAAGTCGCGTAATTGAAAAAGGTATAGAGATGAAATGATAAAGTACCAATGAAGTCCAGGATCCAGCCAACGGTGCCGTCCCCCCCGCAGGCAAGCACTCGGAAATCAGGGACATCTCGGAAAAAGTTCAACCTGTGACAAATATACAAACATACGATAGGTTAGTGGGAAATTAAGCCGTACATTTTTGAATAAGAAAGTTTTGTTCAATTGGCGTCATGTCATTAATTTTCTATAGAATAAACTCAGATCTTAATGTGTGGGAAATTGTACGTATTGTGCTCTGATGGATAAATATAAGTGCATGACGTAAAAATGTATTTTCAATTTGCACATCCACGGGAAGGCCTTTTTTTTTTATTATACATATGTTTTTTTTCATCACTTCATTACTACTTTGATCAGAAAAAAATAAAAAACAGAGGAAAGTCGAAAGAGTAGTCAAGAAAGTCAAGTAAAGTTAAACGGCAAAGACAAAAACTCAGCAGACAAATAGATAGATAAAAAATAATAATAATAATAAAATAAGATTGAAAACCCTTGAGTGAGGCACTGCTCCAAAATGTATCCTTATCTGTATGTTTCAAGATTAGATCAGGGTGACCAGACCCCAGTTTTGAGTCCAGTGTCCACTGTCTCAGTAGATTTATCCAAAACCACTGATTTGGCCCAGTTTTGTTCAAGAAATGTCCCAGGTCTTCCTATTTTTGACCAATCTGATCCCTGCCAATAGTAAAGAGAGACAAAAATTGTCATTTGTTTTGGTAAAATACGAAAATCTGCTTAAACATGGACCAAAACACAAAGAAAATATAACTATACTCTTACGACCCGAGTGGATCAAACATATTAATGAGGACACAGGAGGCGAAAAGATTACAAAAGTAAAAGATGTTTTTATTTTTAAGTTAATTTTAATTCACTTTAAAAACACTAAAACCCATCCTGTGCCCAAAAAACAAAGTAACAGCTGAAAGGTGGACCTGGTGAGCCGACCAAACAGAACAAAATGATGCGGCACCGGGTCAACCTCGTACAGGGCCATAGAAGCTGGTACCAACATCGCTGAACTAAAGGAAAAAAGACGTCCCCAAACTAACCTGACCAAACAAAAGGCGAAAACAGGACAACTGGTCCCACCAATCAAAGCGTTCCCTGTCCACACAGTAACGCAAAACCACCTGAAATGCTGGTCACATGATAGGTAAAAACAAGGAAGTGAAGTTGCAGCAGCTGATTTGGAGCTGAGGGAGATGGCAAGTGTAAAAACAGTCTTTTCGTGGTCCGATGACGAGGTTGAGTTGTTACTTAGTGTAACGCTGGATTTTAAGATGAGCATGACGGCTCTGACTCGTTTCTGTGTCCGCAATTCTTCCCTATCCACACAGCTTTGAGCATATTTGTTCATGTTTTACAGAAATGAAACTTAAAACTACATGGCTCATTTACATAAACTAAGCACTCAAAAAAACAGCTCGCTCCTTTTGCTGCTGAAGCAGTTCAACTTCTGTCGGACTAAAGAACACAACTCAGTGGAATATGAGTGTTCTTTCTGTGACAGAGGGGTGTTCTGCTGATGGTGAGTCTGTTCTGTGCTTCTATTGCGTTGGAGATGGTTCATGTGAAACTTTTCAGAGATTATATAGTCTATGCATATGATTATATGCATAGACCATTTATATGAATGGACATATATTCTAGCCTCTTAGCGTTTTGGTGTTGAATTAGCTACTTAGCAGCACATAAAACTACATCAGCGTTTTCAGGTGTCCACACGGTGAAGGATCAGATCTGTACTCAGATGAATTCGTGGGAGCTGGCGGCACCAGATCGTTCCGTCTCTGGAGCCGTTTTCAATCGGATTAGCGTGAACGAACACTGCATCCACAACGAAAACTACTCGAATACGAACTAGTGTGGACTGGACCTTAGTTTTGAGAGAAGAACTCAAAAATATGTAGGATTTTTGTGTTAAACTTATGAATGAAACAAAACATAACTCCTGGTCTGTTTTGGTTGAAGAAACAACATTGTAAAATTGATCAGAAAACAGAGTAATATGGTCTCGTTTAAAAATAAAACACTATAATAGGCCAATAACACGCTTGTATTGACATGTTCTTGTGTGGTTTTCTGCGGGCCTGGCTGTTTGGCGACTAATCAGATCATTACGAGCGCTGCTTCTTCCGTTCCTTCACTGTACCAGAGCCCGGAGCTAACTGAATGAGGACCCTGTGTGTCTGTATGTGAGCCCAAATCACTCACTCAATTACTCCCCGCTGAGACCGTAAACGTATTAAACACAAAACAGACGGCCGCTGACATGAAAGGCAACTTGGGCCATGTTTGAATCGCAAGAAACACACTTCATTTGGGTTAAGGGCATTACAGAGGACAGTGTGTGCGTGCGTGTGTGTGTGTAGGGGTGTGTGTGTGTGCGGCAGTGACGAGGGTTGGGGTCATTTACAGGACAGGTCACCGAATGAACACGGACTGGTACGAAAATGAAGATGAAGTACACTAATTGTGCCGCATGCGATCTTAAAATGATGTAACAAAGAAAATGTTGATACTTCGCAGCAGATGTCGTCAACGTTCACTGGGGTCGTGACGCGAACTGAACGCACTGCTCTGTGAGATTGGATTCAACTTAGATTAGTTTTTGTTTTTTTTAATTGGTTGAATGTGCCCCCACGTGGCATGGTTTAGTCTTGGTGTAGACCTGGTTTATACCTGGTTTAGACCTAATTTTCATCCTGATTTTAGTCCTGGTTTAGTCTTGGTGTATTCCTGGTTTATACCTGGTTTAGATTTGGTTTAGATCTGATTTTAGTCATGATTTTGGTCCTGGTTTAAACCTGGTTTTAGTCCTGATTTAGACCTGGCTTAGATCTGGTTTTATTCCTGATTTTAGTCCTGGTTCAGTCCTGGTTTAGTCCTGGATTAGACCTGGTTTAGACCTGGGTTTAGTCCCAATTTTAGTCCTGAATTTAGTTCTGGTTTAGTCCTGGTTTAGACCTGGTTAAGACCTGGTTTTTGTCCTAGTTTTAGTCCTGATTTTTGTTCAGGTTTAGGCTTGGTTTTAGTCCTGGTTTAGACCTGCTTTTACTCCTGATTTTAGTAATGTTCAATCCTGGTTTAGACCTGGTTTAGACCTGGTTTAGATCTGGTTTAGTCCTGGTTTAGTCCTGGTTTAGATCTGATTTAGACCTAGTTTAAATCTGATTTTAGTCCTGATTTTAATCCTGGTTTTAGTTCTGGTTCAGTCCCAGTTTAGTCCTGGTTTAGTCTTGGATTAGACCTGGTTTAGACCAGATTTTAGTCCTGGTTATAGTCCTGGTTTAGACCTGGTTTTAGTCCTGGTTTAGACCTGGATTAGACCTGGTTTAGTCCTGGTTTTAGTTCTGGTTTTAGTTCTGGTTTTAGTCCTGGTTTAGTCCTGGTTTAGTCCTGGTTTAGACCTGGTTTAGACCTGGTTTAGTCCTGGTTTAGACCTGCTTTAGACCTGATTTTAGTCATGATTTTAGTCCTGGTTTAAACCTGGTTTTAGTCCCAATTTTAGTCCTGATGTTAATTCTGGTTTAGTCCTGGTTTAGTCCTGGTTTAGACCTGGTTTTGACCTGGTTTAAACCTGATTTTAGTCCTGGTTTTAGTTCTGGTTTTAGTCCTGGTTTAGTTCTGGTTTAGACCTGGTTTTAGTCCTGGTTTTAGTCCTGGTTTAGACCTGGTTTAGACTTGGTTTAGACCTGGTTTAGACCTGGTTTTAGTCCTGATTTTAGTTCTAGTTTAGTCCTGTTTTAGTCCTGTATTTTGTCTTTTTTCTTAAGTTTTCAAACAATCTTCATACTTTGACTTTGTCTGTGATTGTCCTTGTATATTCTATGTTTGTGTACAGCACTTTGACCAGCTGCAAAGTTTTTAAAGTGCTTTATAAATAAAGTTGGTATGGTATGGACTGAAGAAAGAAGGCGTTGGGTGAAGGCTGAAAAGTTCCACAGCGCCCCTTTAAAGCAGAAAACAAAACAACAAAACAAAACTTCAGACGGCAACTTAGTCTGAGACAAAAGGTCACTCCCCAAACTGGAGCAGTGGTTGAGTCCTGTGTATCGTGTATCCTGTATGTGTCACGTTCATTTTTGATAAAGCCCACATTCGAGATCTAATCAAAGCCAAACACGAGCACGGCACGGCCCCCTCTCCCCAGCTCGGACCCCCTCTCCCTGCGCGTGGCGGGACGAGCTGTCCGGGCCTGATGCATACGGAGAGAGGGGTCTGCATCTCATATCTCTTATTACTGTGTAGGAGGCAGGAAGCATGTTTTGTAAACAGGTATTAAAGAGGAGCCGGGGACTACTTCTGATGACTGGGCATGCTTCAGGAGTAAGGTTACGCTACACTTTAATGTCCCCGTAGAGAAACCGGCATTTGACCCACTTTGGTTTGGCAGTCTCTTCTCTCTTCTATCAATGGTATTTCAGTCGATATTTTGAGATAAGATTCACTGCTGATAACTGGAAACAGAGGTGAATGATAATGCATTCATATTGATACTACTTTAGAAGAACTACATCTTAATTAGACTTAATAAAGCATGAACAGTGACTTTATTCATAATGAACAAATTGTTGTAATATAAAGGCCTGGTTACACAAGAACGATTGCGTAGGGCAGGGGTGTCAAACTCATTTTGGTCCGGGGGCCATATCCAACCTACTTTGATCCCAAAGGGGCCAGATCAGAAAACTAAAAAATAACATTAAGTTCAAATATTTGTGCAGAGAAAAGCAAATCTATTACAGAAATCTTTTTTAATTGATGAACTCTTTCTTATTATAATATTATAATATTATGAACAACCTGAAACTTTAAGAAAAATTCTATTTCAGCACAATGTTTTAACATGAACTTGTTTGCAAACAGGAATAAGTCAATTTTTCTTGGAAAATCCTGCACTCGGCTCCACTTTTGTCATGTTGGACATTTTTCTGATGAGGGTGTCACGGTCAACAGTCAAAACGATCGTCCTTTAAGAGCGTTTGGAAAGAGACAAGTCTTCATTTGTGCTGCTCTGGTGGGAGGGGCCACGTACAGAGACGCTGGAGATGCTGCTGTGATAAACACCACAGAAAATTACCAATATTTTTATAGAAAATATAATTAAAATATTTTAGTAGAAAATCACCCAAGGGCCACATTAAAGGTCTTGAAGGGCCGGATCTGGCCCCTGGGCCTTATGTTTGACACCTGTGGCCTAGGGTGACCAAACATCCATTTTTACCCGGACATGACATCCACGTCCTGTCCTGGCCGTCCGGGTTTTTTTTTTTTATAAAGTGATACAAATGTTCAGGTTTTCATTATCTTTCATTGGGTCATTAAACTGAGCGTCTCTCGTAGCTCTCTGTAACTCAGAAGGAGCGAGCAGACACAGACAGTCGGTCAGTCTGCAACACGCTGAAGCACAAATGCGCATTTAACGATGACTTGTACAAGAAATTCCGCGCTTTCCGTCCCAGTCAGGACAAGTGTGAGTCCATGTGCACAGTGTACAAAGCAGCACATATGTTTCAGTGTCCAGTGGCGGTGCCGGGGACCTCAAAGCACCAGGACACCAAAAAACATTAAAAAGCTTTGCCAGGTGAGAGTAGCTCAATGTCGATGATGAGGCCCCACGTCCCAACCCCCGTACGGTGTCCTGGTTTTGACAAATGCAAATATGGTCACCCTACGCTTGCGGGTAAAAACAAGAAAATATTTTATCAGAAGTGATTTTCGTTTAGACAGTGACGGCGTTTTTGGGGCTTAAAAACGCAAAAATCTGAAACCATCCTTCAGAGTCAAAAAGTTGAATACGCTCCACCGTAGTGTTTCCTTCTACACTGCCCAAGACGCAAAACTCTGGTCAGATCTGCTCACGTCGCGGACATGTTTGCGTCACATACATACAGTACACAGAAACAAACATGTCAGATCATTTCCATCCATCTGGCATCTCTAATGAACTTACAGGAGGCTCCCAACAAATGTACAGAATGTGCAGAGATACTATTAGTGAACAGAGAAGGATCTGCAATCACCTCTGTCAAATTCTGGATGCACTAGTTGGTCGCAGGCGAGTCAGACGGATATGGACGAGACCTGGAGAACTAGTTGAGGGTGGAACAACTTTGTGGAAGAAGTAGCTGATGAAAATGCTTGGTGTGAAAACTTTGTTATGCCCAAAGACGCCCTTGTTGCTTTAAGTACAAGCATGCCCAATTCCATACACTTTTGCGTCATCGTATGCACGCAGATTTCCTCCAGAAAACGCTTGTCTAAACATGGAATAAAAAGACACAACGCCACTTTTGCGTCTTCTGTTCAGACCTTCATCATATAAATGTAGCCTAAGTCCTATATTACGCAAAATTTACTCTTGTAAGGTTTAACAAACAAAACAAATCTGGAGTCATGTTTTCTTTCATTCACACATTTGATATACCCTTTTTACCATTATTAGTCTGGTCACATCTCCAAAAATCAAAATGCTCTGTTCCACCTTGTGATGTCATGAAGTGGTAGTTTTCAAGCTACCTTTTAACTTTTGTTCAGTAGAGTTTGGAAATTCTGGGTCTGAAATGATCCAAATGATTCTAGTGAAGGTGTATGGAGTTTAAAAAAAAAACAGTGGAGCACTTCCTGTACCAAATGACATCATAAGGTGCAACAGAGTGTTTTCAATGTGAGAGAAGTGCATCAAATTTATGAATGAAACAAAACACAACTCTGGATATGTTTGGGATGAATAAACATTATAACATAGATCAGAAATAGTGTGAGGCCTTTGATGTGTACATTGTGTTTTTTGTAAATGATGTGTTTTATTGTGAATTATTTGTGCTTAGTTTCTTAATTGTAATAGAAAAGTTGAACATACCCAGGCATAGGTCCGTTCTTGGCCAGGTTGTACACTTGTCTTGGGTTCAGCAGATACTGAAACTTCCGGTAAATCCTACAAAATAAAGAATTAAAAACAACATTCATATAATCCAACTTTAATACTCATAACAAACTCACAATAAAGACATATTTAAAGTAGACCTATTCTGCAAAATAGATTTTTCAGAGAATTTAAAATGTTAGTTGTTTCTCCTTCTTATTTACCTTTTGTTTGGAGTAATTTGTGAATGTTTGACCAATCTTTAGTCACTTATTTTCAAGATGCCATTTTGCTAATCAACCTCCATTTTCACTGCCACTGGTACATGCCTACTGCTCTCATTACTTCATTCTTCAATTTGTTTTTCTTTATCTGTCATATGTGTAAAATTCAGCAAAATTCACATAGCCATTTGGGTACAGATGAAAAAAAGAATAGAATTTTTCACTTCTCTTTAGTCTGCAGCCGTCCATCAGAGGTGCTGGCGACTTCACGGCTCTTTGTTGTGATGTTGTTTACAATGATCTCATTGCGCACTACAGTTTTCTAATGTGAACTTGTTTCTCTTACCAAGTTGTTTTAGATCACGGCTGTCAAACTCAAATTAACAGAGGGCCAAAATGAAAAACTGGAACTTAAATAAATATTTATTGAAACATTTTCAACAACATCTGCATGTTTTCTCTTCTTTTGAGATATGATGTTAAACCTTTTCTTATTAAAATAAATGTTTAATAATAGTTTGTCTTAAACACTGAATCTAGAACAAGCAAAATATAAAATAATAGCAACATTTTAAATAAATAATGTCTCTATAGTCTATCTGTAGCCGGTGGGCAGTTCTAATACATATTTGATAGGATCTCGCGGGCCGAATATAATTATATCGCGAGCCAAATTTGGTCCCTGGGCCTGAGTTTGACATATCTGTTTTAGATGAATATTGCAATTTAAAATGTGTAAATATGCTCTCTACTTGAATACAGGAGTTATTTGAGGAGAGAGAGTGTCAGTATAACCTTAGAAGAACAGGCATCTTTTTAAAATATGAAGATGTAAGAAAAGAAGTAAGAAAATTGTTATTGTATTTCTGTTTGAGGGGTTAATATTATGGAACAACCTGAATGATGATGTAAAAAAGTCTAACACTGTAAAAGCATTTAAAAACAGGTATAAATCATTATGTTTTGAAAGCTAGAGAGCTCTGGAAATTCAATTTAGTTTGTTTTTATTTTTATTTTTATTTTTTTGTCTCTTATATATACAGTAAGTCGTAAGTAGTTTGGGGTGGGGTTTGGCTTTATAAATACTTTTGACTTCAGCTTAAACCCTTGCGGTCACCCTTTCCATCATACACAGGGTTGTAGTTTGTTTTTTGAAGTGCTGCAAAATGACCGAATAAACTGCTACTACTACTAATCTAATATTGCTTTTCAAAATAAGTTGTATAAGTTCTTCTTTCCTCCATGCTGCTTGTAGACCCACCCGTGTGTGACAGGCCAGTGCAGTGGACAGCAGCTCGTTCCCCCCTCGGGACTAACCATTAGAAAGACTAATATATTTTAATTTCAATTCCATTATATCAACTGGCTGAAGTCGTATTTTGATCTCATAATTTAAACAGATGAGGGCGGGGGTAATAGGCAGTGAATGAATATGTTTCAGTAATAAGCCAATTAGCCTTGGGTTAGGCTCGGGCCGGGCGTCACGTGACAGCAGAGGGGAGGGGGGAGGGCAGGCTCACAGTGACAGCCCGCTACCTCTGACTCCCGAGACTCTCACAACATGCTACTTCAATTACTGCATTTGTTGAAGCAGACCTATTACGAAAAAAAAAATAAAAATCGAGGTTTCAGAGCTGAGTTGTTTTCCTTAATCATTTACTCACCCGAAGTTGTATTTAGAGTGATTCGTGCATGTTTGAGCAAACTTTAATTGTTTATTTCAGTGAACAGATATCCCTTTTTACTCAGGACAGTCCCAGTTTTGAGTCCTGTGTCCCCTGTCCCATCAGATTTATCCAAAACCATTGATTTGTCCCAGTTTTATACAAGAAATGTCCCAGGTGTCTCTATTTTTGACCAATTTGATCTCTGCCAACAGTAAAGAGAGGCATAAATAGCCATTTGTTTGGATAAAATACAGAAATGCTGCTTAAAAACAACCAAAACACAAAGGAAATGTGACTATACTGACTCATATTTTAGTCATGACTGGTCTCTGCATAACAATTTTCCTTACTCATGCACTCGTTTTACAATTTTGTTAAAAAAAAAAACAGGGATGTCCCAGTTTTTTATTTTGAAATTCTGGTCACAATCAACCTCCATTTTCACCTCCACCAGAACACACCAACTGCTCTGTACTTCATTCTCCATTTTTATTTTCTTAATCTGTGATACGTGTAGGATTCGACAGTGTTTCGTAGTAATTTTGGTACAATTGAAAAAAATTCATTGTGATCCATTTTGCCTAATATAGGACGCTTAACCTAAACCTTCACCACACATGTTTGAGTACCGTATTTTTCGGACTATAAGGCACACTTAAAATCCTTTAATTTTCTCAAAAGTCTATAGCGTGCCTTATAATCTGGTGTGCTTTATGTATTAATTCTGGTTGTTGTGCTTACTGACCTTGAACCGATTTTATGTTGTACACGGCGCTCATAAATCTGTCAAAATGTTTTAGTGCGACTTTGGTAAACTACGAAGCCGCACCGCTTGATGGATTGTCGGAACATTACGGCTACTGTAGTCAAGAGCCTCGTGGAGTAAATCGTGTCCGTCAATCTGACAGAAGCTGACAACATCAGCGCACAAGGAGTGAGCAGTTTGTTTCAGCACTTATAGTTTATGCAAATGAGCCATGTGGTTTTAAGTTTCGTTTCTATAAAACGTAAACAAATGTGCGAAAAAAGCTGCAATAAACACATTATTACTCAATATATATTTCAGTCGTCCTCGTAGGAAATAATAAAACAAACTTATCCACCCACATTCACATTCATAATACATATTCACCAAGACAGGGAGGCAACGCCGGGCGAATTACGCCACGATCTGCCAATAGATCATGGACGCCTGGACTACGGGATCAGTCTCAAGTGTCGTCTGTTTGTTTTGCTTAATGCACCTTATAATCCGGTGCACCTTATGTATGAAAATAGACGAGAGAATTCAACATTATTGATATTGCGCCTTATAATCCGAAAAAAAAAAAAAATTGTGTGAAAGAAAGTGAAAGTGAAAGAAGTTCATTGTGATCCATTTTGAGTAATATAGAACCCTTAACCTAAACCTTCATTCACACATGTTTGAGTAATCATTTATTATTAGTCTATCTGTTCGACTTTATAATATACTGGTAGATTTCAAGTTTTATCTTTAGTTCGGTAAATTTTGGCAATTCCAGAGCTGTAATTATCTAAATGATTCTGGTGAAGGTGTCTGGAGTTTAAAAATGCAGTGAAACCATTGCTGTATTACCAAAGGACATCACAAGCTGTACGAAGTGTTTTCAGTTTGAGAGAAGAACTCTAAAGGCTAAATATGCAGGGTTTGGGCGTTAAACATGCACAAAACAAAATGCAACTCCAGGTCTGTTTGTGGTGAGGATCTGTAAATAACGTAATATTAAAGCTTTAATTTATTTTAGCCCATATGTGAATTTAAATCGTCAAAGAAATGTAATGTTATAGAATGTAATGTCTCCAAGTGGCATGGACACCTCCGTCTGTGTGTGTGTGTGTGTGTGTGTGTGTGTGTGTGTGCGTGTGTACTCACCGCTCCCCCTGCTTGCCCCCGCTCTTGGGGTTGACGAACACGAGCAGAGGATGAGTGCCCTCTATTGTTGTGATCTGAATGAGAGATGTCAAAACAAAGCATTGGTGTTTGGAGACGGCAGGAAGCTTCACAGGATCCACTTTCAAGCCCCGCTCCTCCTCGCACGTAACCCAGATATGAGCAGCCGAGAGCGGGGAGAGCGGGGCCCTCTGACACCCCCACCCCCCCCCCGTGAGGAGGAGAGACGAGAGACAAACGTGCGCTGCTGTTGTGTTAGTGCAGTTTGTGCGCAGGAGAGTATATTGTAATCAGACTCGTTTACTTCTGTCTGGATTATTAGCTCACAAATTAAGCATCAGATTAAGAAAACGCAGCAGGTGAACAGGAAAACATCTTAAATTTAGACATATAAATCTAAAATTCTGCAGTTTACTCACATAAATGTAAGAAAAAATGTTGTAAATAACCCAGAGCATCATTTTATTTTTTATATTGCACTCTATCTTTTGCTCTTTGCTTTTTTATTTTGAAGGGTCTTATGTCCGGTTAGTGCAAAAACAGTTAATTATCTTAACATCGAGAACAACAAAAGACGTTATACGGAGCAAATATTAATTAATTTATTTATTTTTCATATATTTTCTATGCCTTTGTTTAGATAAACAATAAACAACATTGTTGATTTAAATATGTGTTTTAGCGGTTATCTTGGTTGATTTGTGTTGTCAAAATGAATGTAAATGATAAGATAAACTTGCGTTGAGTTTTGTGTATTTGTATTTACACACTGTATTTTGATATTCCTTTTAGCTCTTACGGCAGATTGGAAGATTTATTGACATTAAAACTTAAAATCACCAGTTTAAGTGTCAGTCTTCATTCAGAGGGATATGCTGCAAATGTATTACCGTATATTTCGGACTACAAGACGCACTTAAAATCCTTTAATTTTCTCAAAAATCAACAGTGCGCCTTATAATCTGGTGCGCCTTAAGTATTAATTCTGGTTGTTGTGTTTACTGACCTCGAACCGATTTTATGTAGTACACGGCGCTCACAAATCTGTCAAAATCAGTTCTTTTTCAGTGTTATAGTTTATGCAAATGAGCCATGTGGTTTTAAGTTTTGTTTCTGTAAAACATAAACAAATGTGCACAAACCTGCATTAAATACATTATTACTCAATGTATATTTGAGTTCTCGTCATCAAAACAAAACAAAACAAAAAAACAATTTTTAAATTATTAAACTTATTAAATTCAATGATAAAATTATTCGCCTACATTTACATTTACGCCACAATCTGACAATAGATCGTAGATGTCTGGGCTAAGGATCAGTCTCAAGTATCGTCCGTTTGTTTCGCTTAATGCGCCTTATAATCCAGTGCACCTTATGTATGAAAATAAACGAGAGAATTCAACATTATTGATATTGCACCTTATAAACCGGTGCCTTATAGTCCGAAAAATACAATACACGTTTTTCATCATGTAATGTTTTCGTGTAAAAACAATGCATTTTATGTAAAAAAAAAAAAAATATATAAAATAATATATATATAAATTATAATATATATATATATATATATATATATATATATAATAAATGTTAACTTGAGAGACATTTGTTTCTTTTCTGTTGTCAACACTGTCACTATTCACAGTGTATAACTTAACATGTTGTAGGTATGAAAAATAAGCTAAATATACAAATTTAAAATTATTAGCGGTGGTATATCGTAATTGTCAATATCAGACAACTTCCCCCAGATAACGGGATCTGTCCAATATTGAAAATTTAGCCAATATTTGGCTCAGGTATTTCTTCTACACTGTCCGAGCCTGTGTGTGTCCATGTCCCAGTTCGTCCTCACTGCTCAGTGCTCAGTGGATTTGTCTTTTTGGGCAGACTCATGAGTAAAAAAAAAATGTTTACATTAGGGCCCGACCGATATAAATGTGCCTTTATATCGGTACACATATAATCAATTACCACAATGCGCACACATTACTGCTAAAGGCTGATAGCAGTAGTTTTTACTTTGTTTAAATAACATTAGGCCGACCTACTGTCTTTAAATGTGATTGTAAAGAGGCAGAATAACAATAAATGTGGCCTAAATAAAACCAACTTAAAATCCAACAGAGCCAAACTTAAGTGTTATAATCAGCTGAAGATTTATAGTGAATTATTACATCACTAAATACTGTATATCAGCTGTTATATCAGCTATCAGCAGCTCCAAAGCCTGTTTTATCAGTATCATATCAAATCCAAAAAAAAAAAGTAATATTGGTTGGCATTAGTTTACATCCCAGACAAATACATTTTGTTTGTAAAAAGTTTAGTTTGTACTATAACTTATAAATTACTGCTGTACTCTATATTTTAAAAGACAAATATCAGCATCGGCTCAAACATCGGACCATCCCTACGATAAATTCTGAATTTCTGAGCATAAAAAATACAAACAGTGACCCACTCAGTAGAGAAGTAGAGTCAATAATCCTCAGTACAGTAGAAAATATTAGGAAACCTGTCCGAACACACCCACAACTGTACAGTAGTGCGGTGTGAGCGTGGGCCTTCCTCCAGCCCAGCCCACCCCCTCGTCCCCCTCGCCCCGACCCCCCCCTTCCCTGTCCCAGCACCGGCCCTGGATTGATGACCCCCGTCCGGCCTGACTGATGCATTACTTCCTGTAATTATAAATAATAATCTTGAATATTACGGAGCTGAGGCGCTGAGGGCAGAGATGGATGTGCCGGGGTGCGATTCGTCTTGTGTCTCTGGAGCGGCCGCCAGAGACGAGACGGCAGGTTTCCATCGGCAACGACGGAGGACAGACTCTGCTGCCGGAGTCTCGTCTGCCTGAACTCTGCATTAAAGGTGCACTGAGTAACTTTTCTGGTGGAGGGGCCGTCACCTGTTTGTCTTCATAGAAATGTTATCGCTATGTCTAGAATGTTCCATATTCTCATCTTCTCCCCCGACGTGGAATCTCATGTTTCCCATGTAAAACAGGTGCTGAAGAGACTCCTGGACAATCAGTTGTATGTTAAAGCACAAAAGTGCAAGTTTCACGTCTCCTCAGTGTCATTTTAGGCATGGTGGTTAGCCAGGGAGAGCTGAAGATGGACCCTGGCAAGGTCCAAGCAGTCAAGGACTGGCCCACGTCCTCCTGCCGAACAGATGTTCAGCGTTTCTTGGGATTTGCCAATTTTTATAGTTTATAAGTTTATAAAAAACTTCAGCTCTATTGCCGCACTCTTGCGTGCACTTACCTCTTCTAAGTTTCAGTTCTCCTGGTCCACTCAAGCAGAGGAGGCCTTCCAAAAGCTGAAAACTTTGTTCACATCAGCGCCTGTGTTGACTCTTCTAGATCCCTCACGGCAGTTCGCGGTTGAGGTTGATGCATAGAATGTGGGCATTGGAGCAGTTTTGTCACAGAGGTTAGTAAAAGACAATAAGTTGCATCCCTGTGCATTTCTGTCTGAGAAACTTTCTTCTTCAGAGCGCAACTATGATACTGGGGACCGAGGGCTTCTGGCTATAAACCAGACTATTTATATAAGGAAGAACCAGCAAACTCCACAAGAAGGCTTCACTCGGGCCTAGAATCAAACTTCATACGAGTCAGTAAGGCTAACCACTCTGCTACGGCACCTCACATTCACAGTATAAAGAGTCCAAAGTGTAAATAATATAAGCATCTCACCTGGAGGCCCTGTCCGTCCACGGTCACAGAGTTGGCCCTCTGCATCTTCCCTCTGCCCGACTGACTGGTGCGAGAGTCCTTCCTCAATGTCGACTGCCTTTCCTAACATAAAAACCATCATACATTTTTATCACAAAAACAGGATTTGACAGAATTTGAACATTTTGGTTAAAAAAGTGTATTTCCCCACCAGTCACCAGTCATGATATGCACTACAGAAAGAACGACAAATCCTTATTTTGAGGAGTCTTGACATTTACTCAGTAGGTTTAGTTTTTCTTGTTTTGTTTAGTTTTTTTGAAATGCACATTTTCAGACGAGACTAGTTGAAAAAAATGTAAAGCAAAAGAGCAAAAAACATCTCTGAAAACAGCTCATTAATCTACACCTAAATCAAAATGACTTGTATACTCTTGAAACAAGATACATTTTCAACATTGAATAAATTTCATTAGGAGTAGAAGTAGAAGTAGCAAAACATTTTTTTTTTTTTTTTTTTTTTTTTTTTGCAGTGTATGGCAATTTTGGTGGAAAGAGTACTGCAAATCTGTACTGAAGTAAGTACAGTTACATGGCCAAAAATGTACTCAGTTACAAGTACTGCTTCCAAAAGTGAAAGTAAAAAGAACACGTGAAGAATTCTACTTCTTCAGAGTACTAGTTACTCTATTTTAAGCAGCAGTTTAGATCAGCGTGTTGCATAAATTGAACAGTTTTAAGTTCTGTCCAATCAGAGCAGGCGATGCTGTTCCGTGTGTTTGTTGGTATATAAAGGAACAGAAACGGACGTGGATTCAGATGACTTTGACTGCGCTGTACTTAGAAACTTCTATGATTTTAACTTTATGATTTAAACTAACTACATTTACATGGTTACAGTTAAATTATACAGTTTGACATGTACAGGTACATGTTTCAAAATCATTTTAACAAATTCATATAACAAAACAACATATACTGGCCCAAATTCTGGAACAAACTGATAAATGCAAAAAATTGATATATTGTATCATTTAATTTGATGATACAGTATCAATATTAGGGCTGTAACAGTATCGAAATATTGTGATATTATATGGTCAAAGTTCTCACAATAATATCGTGGACCATCACAATATATCGAATTACAAGTCTCTTTGCTTAAAATTAGAGTTATGGTGCAGCAATAGCTAAAAAAAGACAGAGGGAACTACATAGACCATGATCCTTTGCTCCATTTCAGTGCAGAATACAGGAAGAAATAACAGTTCTAAACACTTTAAAGTCTTAATTCTTTGGGTTAAGTCTTGTCAAGGCATTTTAAAGAGGAAAAAGTTGCACATTAACAGTTTTAGCTGTTTAGCCTCCACAAAATATCTCAATAAATATCTTATCGTGAGATGTATATCGCGAAAATATCGTAAGAGATTTGGATATTGTTACATCTCTAATCATGAGCCTCCCTCCATATCATGAACTTTCCCATGATATCACAATAAATATATTTCCCTTGGATATTGTTACACCCCTAATTGATATCATGGGCTGCTGTATCGATATATCGCCAAGAGTGTTTTTAGGTATACATTACTAAATTATTTTGTGTAAGAGCTACAATTGCATTGACATTTTGACTGTTTTGGTGAGTAAAATTTGTGTTTTTCATGTTAACCGCACAAACTAAGTAGTCAGGCTGGTGCCACCTAGTGCCTCAGCTCAATTTTATTTCTCTCCAACGACTAGGTCAGGAATCAAAATACACTAGACGGTTTGCAAAAAACCCGGAAGTGCGAGTTCGGGCATCAGCCAATCAGCGAAAAGCCATATATTCTGTGTTGGCATTGATTCCTGAGATCGAGGATTTTAAGCCTGAACAAAAAGAATGTTTGATGAATTTTATCAAGGGGAAAGACGTTATTGTCGTTCTTCCTACGGGATTTGGTGCATTACATACGTCACAACCAAATAGCAGCAATTGGTTAAATAAAAAAGCACCCGCCTACCGTCGAGCGAACAAATCCTAATGCTGTGAGGTCAGGCTGATGAATCAGGCTACAAACAAAGTGGACTTAATAGTTTAATAGTCTTTTAGTATAAGAGCCATGATTTAGCCTTTGTTTTTCACAGAACCATATCAAATCAATTTGGAATATATTGTATCAAATCATATTGTATCAAAAGTGAACTGTATTGAAAGACATATCGTATCAGCAGTGTTGGGGAGTAACAGATTACATGTACCAGAGTTACGTAATCAGAGTACAAATTATGAGTAACTGTATTCAGTTACAGTTACTGTTTCAGTGAGTTATAATTGGATTACAGTTACTTTATTGAAATAAATGGATTACACAGCGGGATTTTCCGGTTTTCCTGTTTTCACATTTTGGGCTATATCCCCCCCTTTTCTTTTTTTTTTTTTTTTTTTCACTCATTGTTTAAACCAGGTCGAAATCAGGACTAAACCAGGACTAAACCAGGTCTAAAACCAGGTCTAAACTAGATCTAAACCAGGTCTAAAACCAGGACTAAAATGAGGTGTAAACTAGATCTAAACCAGGTCTAAACCAGGACTAAAACAGGTCTAAAAGAGGATTTAACAGGACTAAACCATGCTGCGCGGATGTGTCTCCTCCTCCTCTATCAATAATATTTTTAATTTGGTTAAGTAAAGACTGGCCTTTTTATTTTCTTTTAGCACACAAAATATCTTATGTTACGATATCCTAGTCTTTGCTTCTCTACAACTATCCATGCGTTTGTCTCCAGTAGGTTAGATACTGTAATGTTCTGCTCACTGGTCTCTCCAAACGAGCTGTGAGACGCTGCAGAACATCCAGAACATCCAGAACGCTGCAGCTCGGGTCCTTACTCGAACTAGGAAGTACGAGCACATAAGTCCTGTGCTCAGGTCTCTGCACTGGCTCCTGTGCCTCAGAGAATAGACTTTAAAGCAGCTCTGCTTGTGTACAAGTCTCTCCATGACCGAGCACCAAAGTCCATCTGTGACATGTTAGTGTCATATGAACCATCTCACACTCTGAGGACCTCAGGGACCGGCCTCCTGCTGGTGCCCAGAGTCAGGACTAAACAAGGGGAGTCAGAGTTTCAGGTTCATGCAGCTAAAACCTGGAACAGTCTGAACATGTGAGACAGACTCTTCTGTGACGCTGTTTAAATCCAGGCTCAAAACATTTCTGTTTAACTGTGCAAATAACTGAAAGGTTTTCATTCCGCACTCTTCTCTCCAATTTATGTCTCTCTTTTTTAATTTTAATCTTCATGATTATTTATGTTTTGATTTGTTTTTATTATGATTTTAATGTATTTCTTATTCTGTAAAGCACTTTGAATTACTTTGTGTACGAATTGTGCTCTACAAATAAACTTGCCTTGCCTTACAGCAAATCAAGTAATCCAAAGTATTCAGATTACGTTACTCACCTAAAGTAACTTGATGGATTCCGTTACAAACTACATTCTGGTGTATGTAATCTGTAATCTGTATGGGAATACATTTTAAAAGTAACCATCCCAACACTGCATATCGTGGCCTATGTATCGAGGTATGTATCGTATCGGCAACTTCTTCATGATACCCAGGTCTACTGATGATATGTGCATCATCCCAGACTTTGGCATGTTTAAATCCAGACTGAAAACCTTTTCTATTCAGACTGGTTTTGAACTCTCAGTAATGCAGTGACTCTTCGTACAGTTTGTTGTTTTTCATTGTTTAAGTTTGTGAGTGTTTGGGTTGTATTGGAGAGCACTCTGGTCACTCTGAGTGTAGTTAAGGGCTCTATAAATAAAGTTTGATTGATTGGTAGATAGATATAAACTACGTGAGCTGCCGTCCCCATTGGAAACCCCCCTCAGCCCTCAGAGCACAGGTAAAACATATGGACTAATTGTTTTGAGCCTGTGTCTCCGCGGGACTCCGTCGGGCCTCGCTCTGTTCCTCTTCTCGTTATTTGGACGCGCAGTGGGTGATGATTGGCTGCTCGCGTGTGCCCGCCGCGGTGCCCTTACCAGAACCACGGGGCAGATGGAGCTGGGGGGCAGGATGTGGTCCTTCAGCGGGCCGCAGTCGCACTCGGGACGCACGTGGGACGCGCACTTGTTATGAAGCTGCGAGGGGGGAGAGAGAGAGAAAGCGTCAGGTATCATTAACAGCCAAACAAGCAGAAACCCCTGTCGTCAGCGTTTAGCTACAATCCCGCTACTTATTTGCATGCATTGTCTTCGCTTTATTTTCGAGAACAAATAAGTGTTTTGGGAGTGTAAATTGGCGGGGTAGCTAGTGCGGTGGGAGAGGTGCCAGAGCTACAGCCTAAACAAGCCTGAGCAGTGGGGCTATAATGAGAGGAGGCTGGCTCTCTCCGGGAGGCGCTTACCGTGATTTGACACCACACGCAGTGCAGCCCGGTCAGGCCCTGGTAACACTTAATGGTTTTGTGACACTTGTCGCACTTGGTGGGGCAGTTCCCTTCCACCCAGAAATGGTGCATGACCTGCGGAGCGAGAGAGAGAGCGCGCGGTGAGGGGAGGTGAGAAAAGAGAGAGCTGCTGGAGAAAAACAAGACGAGCGCAGCGTCAAAACAACAAAGAGACAGGCCAATCAGCGAGCCGACGCCAAACTGCTGTAAGGTTTTTGAGATGTTGTTATTATGTTTATAGATACACTACCAGTCAAAGGTTTGGACACACCCTCTCATTCAGTGTTTTTTCTACTACTTTACACATTTTATATACATTAGGGTGACCATATTTCCATTTGTAAAATCCTGGACACCTTTCCGGGGGTGGGAGTTGGGGCCTCGACATTGAGCTACAGTCGTCCCTCGCTATATCACGGTTCACCTTTCGTGGTCTCTCCATTTTGCAGATTTTTTCTTTTCTTTTTATTTATTTATTTTTTATTTTTTTGTGTCAATTTTGCATGTCTAAACCAGGTCTAAACCAGGACTAATCTTGGACTTAAGAGAGAGAACGTCGAGCAGTTTGTCCACAAAGCGCGATCGGGCAGTTGCCGCGTTTACCTCCGTGAGGTGCGGAGCTTCCATCGGTCCTTTCTCCTGCGGTCACCTCCGAGCCCGTCCCGACACTGAGTCCTGTTTCATTTCTGGTTTACTCCTGTTTTAGTCCTGGTTCAGTCCTGGTTTAGTCTTAGTTCAGTCCGTGGCGTAGGCAGCGCAAAAGCTTGACATAATCACGGGTTAACGGGCGGGTGCAGTGCTGTACTGTGGGTCTCCAAAAATGGACCCGTGCAGGACTCTGCTCTGTAGGGCTCTATTATGGAATAAATGAATCTTCGGTTCGTTACATAAAGAAGGAGGAAAATAATATAAGGACGACAGCAGCAATAAGTTTTAAGAAGGATGCAAAAAGGGTTGTAACTGTCCTGTGTGAGAAAAGTGTATAAAGTTTGTGGTGAGGGGTTTTACAGCCTTAAAACAGATATAATAATTGTAAAATATAAAGTTTACTACTTTGCAGATTTCACTGGGTTATTTTTAGAACGTAACCACCGCGATAAATGAGGGATCACTGTACTCTCACCTTGCAACCTGTGCACATGGTCTCCCACTTGATGGAAAACAGAGTATTTCTTGTACAAGTCATTGTTAAATGTGCATTTGCATTTCAGCATGTTGCAGACTGACCGACTGTTTGTGTCTCGCTCCTTTTGAGTCACAGACGCTACGAGAGACGCTCAAATTAATGGCCCAATGAAAGGTAATGAAAACCCGGACATTTGCATCACTTAAAAAAAAAAAAAACAGGACAAGACACAAAATACGGACATGTTCGGGGAAAAATGGACGTTTGGTCACCCTAATATACATACGCAAGACGCAAGATATATGGAATTACGTAGCAAACTTTTTTTTTTAATAACTGAGCTAAATATGTACAAACTCTCACAGTATCCACCCTTTGCTTTGACAACGCAGCAAAACTCTGGCCTTCTCAAGATGAAGTCTCCTGAAACGGTTTTTATTTCACAGCTGTGCCTTGTCGGGGTCAAGAAAGGCCAAAAGTGCAAAGCAGTGTCAAAGCAAAGGGTGGATATTTTGTAATTATTTATTATTATTTTGAAAGTTTTTAGTTATTTTGAGTTTATTTGAGTCTAGACTAGATTGAGTGTGTCCATTAATAGTTTTGTAATGTAAATCATCATGGAAATAAAACAATAAATAAATGAAAAGGTATGTTCATACTTTTGACTGATAGTGTATACATTTATATATATATATATTTAAACAGAGCAGCAACTAATGATTATTTTGCTAATTTATTAATCTACTGGTTATTTCTTTTGATTAATCCATTAGTTGTTTAAACTGTGAGTGAATATGAGCTTTTTACTACTTTTGATTCAGATATACAGTAGCTGAAGAGAATCGAGGACAGCCTAATGAAGTTTTTTTCAATCAAAAACACTAAATGTACAGACTGTAATATAAATGTTAATGACTTATCTATTTTTAAATGCAATTTGTGGATAATAAAGGTCACTTATTTCCTCTACTGGTCAAAACAAAGCACTGATCACAAATAAAATATAGTTACATATAATTTTTTTATGTTTAATTATGTGTATGTATCTATTTTTTATTTGATTAACATGCATTTGTATGTAAGGAACAACTGTGGATGCAGAAAGTTTAAAAATGAACTAGTTTGGTTGTTCAAGATGGTCATTTAAGACTGTAAAATCATAAAAATCACATATAGTGCCTTTAAAGGTCTTATATTGCACAAAATTGCCTGTTGTGAGCTTTAAGTCAGTCTAGAATATTGTTACCTCATTAAAAACACACCTGGAATTGTGTTTTATTTCAATCACATGTGTTTGAGTAACCGATTATTAATAGTTTGTCTACATCTCCAAAATGATCTGTTCCACCTCGTGATGTCATGAAGCTGTAGTTTTCAAGTCAAGACCTACATTTTACCTTTAGTTCAGTAGAGATTGGCAATTCCAGAGCTGAAATCATCGAAATGATTCTAGTGCAGTGTTTCCCAAAGACTGGATCATGACCCTCAGGTGGGTCGCAAGAGGTTTTTTTGGGACGACGATCTGCATGTAGGTCTATGATATACAGTTCTAACACATGTCGAAATGTTAAGACATGTTTTGTATAATTTCTAATCCTTTTTTAATTATTTTATTGACTATTTTGGATGAATATTGCCAGTTCAGTTGGAGTTGAAAAGAAAAAGAAATGGGCTACATTTACCGTCCAAATTGGCGACTTATGGATCCTTTTATTGCTGCTTCAGTGACTGGTTTTCGTTATTTAAAACTTGAGTAATACTAATTGTTCAGAGACACGATCACTCAGTCAACAATAAAATATCCTCATGAATGTTCAGTAATGCTCAAACACACCTTTATATTGTGATTTACGAATAATGTCTATTGACTTGGGTTGCAAAGGTTCGTGACTTATGTGAAATTGTGAAAATATGGGTCCCCAGAAAAAAAAAAAGTTAAGGAAACACTGAGCTCGTGAATGTGTATGAAGTTTAAAAACACGGTGGAGCACTTCCTGTATTACCACGACATCACAAGGTAGAACAGTGTTTTCGGTTTGAGAGAAGAACTCGAAGAAATTGTGCGTTAAACTTGTGCGAATGAAACAAAACACAACTCCAGGTCTGTTTTCGATGACAAAAAAAAACATTATAACAGATCAGAAGACACTGGCCCTTTAAGGATAAATTGTAGACCTGAGTTGATCCCTGATTCCTCTTTGGTTTGGTCGTCTCTTCGTCGAGCCCGTCTAGAGCTCTTGTGATTCTTTCTGCTTTGAGGAACACTTGGTAGCTTTAGTTCCATCAGGAGGAGAGGGGCCCTGACACTAAGCCGCCCGTGCCCACAGCTAAACCCTCCAATCGGACTCACCTCCGTGTTCTTCTTGGACTTGACGTAGGTCTTGATGCATGACGGAGGCGCCCGCGAAACACAGCGCTCGTGCACGGTGTATTTACAGACTGGAACACACACACAGACACACACGCACAAGTCAACTGCCGGGTTTGGAAAGGACTATATTAATGAATAGAGATGTTGTTAAACTCATGTCATATAAACCCCAAAAAACAGCAATAAGTTCAAATATTTGTGCAGAGAAACGCAAATCTATTACACACATCTTTGTTTAATTGATGAACTCTTTCTTTACAAAATATTATAATGTTATGAACAACCTGAAACTTTAAGAAAAATGCAATTTCAACACATTGTTTAAACATTAACTTGTATGCAAATATAATAAGTCAATTTTTCTTGTAAAATCCAGCACTCGGCTCCACTTTTCTCATTTCTGACATTTTGCTGAGGGTGTCACAGTCAACAATCAAAACGATCGTCCTTTAAGGGCGTTTGGACAGAGGTAAGTCTTCATTTGTGCTGCTCTGGTGGGAGGGGCCACGCACAGAGACACTGGAGACACTGCTATGATCAGCACGGCAGAAAATTACCAAGATTTTAATAGAAAATATAATTAAAATATTTAGAAAATCAGCCAAGGGCCAGATTAAAGGTCTTGGAGGGCCAGATCCGGCTCCCGGGCCATATGTTTGACACCCCTGGTCTAGTGTAATCTGATTCCTGACCTTGTCGCTGGAGAGAAATGAATTTGAGGCACTAGGTGGTGCCAGCCTGGCTAATATTGCCCAGCCCTAGATTCAACTATTGTCACTTTACCTTTTGGATATTTTGTGGCAAAGTACATTATAATCAACAGGGAAATCTGACCCTTGCCCCCCATCATGGAGTATGACATAACAGTCATAACATTTTAGAATCTGAAAACCACCAATAAGGACAGAGCAGGCTAAAAATGGTGCTTGTAAGGTTTGTAATGTGGAGTTATTTTATATAACTTTGCCTGGAATGTATAGCATTAAACTTATCTCCATGGAGACGAGCAGGTAACGCCACCACGTCATGATATGGCGATACTCATATTTGAATCCCAAACAAAAAAAATTGGATTATTAACAGCCCAAAACAGACCGTTTGTCTTATTATTGTGAGAATTTTGACGATACGTTATCACGATATTCTCGGTTATTGTTACATCCCTAATATATATCCTTACTTCACATTTTAAAGAGAAAACGTATTCTAAATCAGACTACATAAAGAAACTGTGAATGCTTTAATAACTTAGCAGTTTATAAAGTTTCAGAAACAGATTTTAAGTATATTTATAGGTGTTGTGTTCATTCGTTTCTATAGAGCTGATTACGCCTGAACTTTCAAACTTTTATTAGAAATTTATTTGGTCTATGGGAAAAATCATGAGAAATTGACTTCTAGAACCAGGAATAAGCAACCACAGTTGAGCCTAGAAGTTGTATGGTTCTTTTTAAAACATTCTCTTGTGTTTTATATTTTTTCTGTGTGTGGCACTTTTGGATTCGTGCGCAAATGTAAGCAGCGTTATAAATCAAACGCGTGGTTATTCTGAACATTCGAGGCAAAAATGTAACATCTAAACGGAGACAAGAAGATGCCAGACCCTCTACTAAAAAAGCTCCATAGCCATCATTTCTCTTTCCTCGCTTCTTTTTCCTCAATTCTGCAGGAAACGGGTGAGGAAGTCCCGCCCACAGAGGATAAAAAGCGAGGAGAGAGGATCTAAACTCCTCACTTAGACCGATAAAGTTTGATTCTTCCTCCCTCACGTTTACTCCTTCACTCCGTGGTTTTCTTTAGGACGCCACTTAATTCGACACATTTGATTAACAGCTGAAAAAAATGGAGGTGCAGTCGAGGAGAGGAATCAAGGAGAAGGAAGCGAGGAACGAGAAATGCACCGATACCAGAGTAAGAGCAGACTCACATGAGCAGCACAGGCCCTGTTTGCCCAGCCCGATCAGCATGTTCAAACACAGGTTACAATAGGCCGGTTTGTTGAAGTGCTTGAGCCTCCACACGTGCTGCCCGTCGTCTTTCACGTTCTGCAAAACACACCAAAACATCAACAAGTGAGTACAATTCAAATACAGCTCAGACCACCTTTTATTAACTCTCTTATTTCTTCCGTTCGTCGTTGTTTGTCTCTTCATATAAAGCATTTTTGAGGATCTTGAAAAGCGCTATACAAGTGTTATGTATTATTATGATTTTTTATTTTATTTATTTATTTATTTGGGTCACAGGTATATTTTGACATTAATTCACAGTGATATTTAACATACACAGACCGAAAAGGTGCAGGCTGAAGCTTAAGATTATCAGTAACAGTACAACAAAGTTCTACAGCACAAACTAAGTCTCATATTTCATGTATTTGTCCAGAGTTAAACATTTAAATTTCTTTATAAAGTGAAAGACACTGGTGCACAGTTTGAGGTTTTCTGTACAGTTGTTCCACAGCTCCACCCCTTTAACAGATTTACAAAATTTCATAATGTTTGTTCTGATTTTCTTTTTGATAAACATGGTCGTGCCTCTGAGCTCATATTGGCTCTTTCAGATTTTGAACATGTTCTGTAAACATAAAACAAAACAATGTGATTAGTATTATTAGCAGCGTTGGGAAGGTGACTTTTAAAATGTATTCACCTACAGATTACAGATTACATACCCCAAAATGTAGTTTGTAACGGAATCCATTAAATTACTTAAAGTAAATAATGTAATCTGAATACTTTGGATTACTTCATTTGCTGTAGAGGAAGTAAAGACGAGGATATCGTAACATAAGATGTTTTCTCTGCTAAAAGAAAATAAAAAGATGTTAAATCCTGTTTTAGACGTGGTTTAGACCTGGTTTAGTCCCGGTTTAATCCCGGTTTAGTCCTGGTTTAGTCCTGGTTTTAGTCCTGGATTAGACCTGGTCTGGTTCTAGTTTAGATCTAGTTTAGACCTGGTTTCAGTCCTGGTTTAGTCCTGGTTTAATCCTGGTTTAGTCCTGGTTTAGTCCTGGTTTAGACCTGGTTTTAGTCCTGGTTTAGATCTAGTTTAGACCTGGTATAGTTTCCGGCAATGAGTGGCCCAAAATGTGAAAGCAGGAAAACAGGAAAATACCACCGTGTAATCCATTTATTTCAACACAGTAACTGTAATCCAATTACTACTCACTGAAACAGTAACTGTAACTGAATACAGTTACTCATAATTCCGGTACATGTAATCTGTTACTCCCCAACACTGATTATTATTAGTAGTAATTAGGGATAAATAAATTCAACTTTACGACATATAAACCGTAACGACTCTAGAGCCACATCAGCCCGTTTGACATTATAATGTGTTTAATTCAGCTTTGCCCAACTCTCACAGAAACAAAACTTAAAACTGCATGGCTCATTTGCATAAACTAAGCGAAGAAAAAAACAGCTCTTGTGTCGCTGATGCGGTTCAACTTCTGTCAGACTAAAGGACATGATTCAGGTGAATACAGGTTAGTGTGACCATATCTGCGTTTGTCAAAACCAGGACACCGTACGGGGGGAGGGAGGTGGGGACTCGTCATCGACATTGTGCTACTCTCACCTGGAAAAGCTTTTTAAGATAAGATAAGATAATCCTTTATGGTCTCCCATGGGAGAAATTTGTCTTGGGACAGGGGGTAACATGCTTTATCAAAAAACAGGACAACACAACACAAAGCACCACATAAACAAACACCACAGAATAAAGTAAATATGAGACCAAGTATGAGCACGAGTGATGCACCAACAGGACCTTTAAATCATTCTTAACAAGCAAGCCCTTGCATTCTTGTATTCTATTAATTATTGCACATTCTCTAAGCCTTTTATAATTATTTTTTAACTGCACTATCTGAGTTTAGCAGATTAACAGCTAGTGGCACAAAAGAATGTTTGAATCTGTTCAGTTTACAGTTTTTTTATGTTTTTCGGTGTCCTGGTGCTTTGAGGTCCCTGGCACCTCCACTAGACACCAAAACATATATGTCTGCTTTGTACACTGTGCACATGGTCTCCCACTTGTCTCAACCAGGACGGAAAACAGGGAATTTCTTGTACAAGTCATCATTAAATACGCATTTGTGCGTCGGCGTGTTGCAGCCTGACTGACTGTTTGTGTTTGCTCGCTCCTTCTGAGTGCACAGAGAGCTACGAGAGACGCTCAGTTTAATGTCCCAATGAAAGATATTGAAAACCTGAACATTTGCATCACTTTAGAAAACAAAAAAAAAAAAAATTGACAGCCAGGACAGGACATGGAAAAACGGACATTTGGTCACCCTACTCTACGCACAGCAACCTACATTTGGTTTGTCGATTAAAAATGAACATAATCGATGAAATTCTTAATGATCAATTATCGATTAATCGACTAATCATGTCCATCCCTAGTAGTAATAGTAGTAATTAAGGCAAAATTGAAGCATGTTGAAAATCTTCTATAGGCACTAGGGCGGCACAATATATGGCAAATGTACTGAAATCACAGTATTGTCTTGTTAAAGGAGACAGTTTTATGTAACAGATAACTCTATGTCCTGTCAATCATCACATCATCTTTGCACTTACGACCTCTTGTACAAATGGAGTTATTTGTATTATTTATTTCTATTTCATTTTTATTTGATGTTTACTCAGAGGTACACTGTCTAAAGCAGACTTAGAGAGAATTATCCATGCGTTTGTTTCCAGTAGACAAACTGTAACGGCCTGTGACAAGCTGTAAAATAACTGCAGTACATCCAGAACACTACAGCTCAGGTCCTGACTCGAACCAACAACTACAAGTATATAAATCCAGTGCTCAGGCCTGTGCACTGCCCCCTGTCCCATATGGAAAAAACTGAAAAAAAAAAAAAAAAAAGAATTTACTTCATTGTGTCTTTGTAGTAAATCTTTATATAAGGTTTATATGTGTCATGTGTGTGATTTACTTCCTGAAAGTTTCCCCCTTTTGCATTTTTCTCAATTACAACTGGATTTAAAATTATGAAAAAACTTATATAAAGATACAGTGAAGATTTTGCAATGACAATTTACAGGTAATGTGCATGATAAACTACATTTTTCTTTGTATAAGTTCCAATGTAATGTTTGTATTCTTTAATTATATGCTTGCTGTTTTAGCACAATTTGCGTCTAAATCTGGAGAGAGTCATTCTAATATGCCTGAATCGCAACTTCATTCATAAAAAATGACCCAAGAATGACCTACTAAACCTGGTCAAATAGCTCTATCTAGTGGTGAAACGGTGAACTACAGGTACTGCAAACAAACAGAACTGCATTTATATCATACTTATTATCTTGTTTATAACTTTATAATATAACAGTTGTCTAAAATTGTTGTTTTACATTAGCGTTAAATTATAAATGCATTTTAAAGGGCCTGTATGACACTATTTTCTAAATTGTGATGTCATGAACAGTGTTGTGAAGGTGACTTTTAAAATGTATTCACCTACAGATTACAGATTACATACCCCAGAATGTAGTTTGTAACGGAATCCATTAAATTACTTAAAGTGAGTAATGTAATCTGAATACTTTGGATTACTTGATTTGCTGTAGAGCAGCAAAGACGAGGATATAGTAACATAAAGATGTTTAGTCTGCTAAAAGAAAATGAAAAGCCCAGACTTTACTGAACCAAATTAAAAATATTATTGATAGAAGAGGAGGCGACACGTCTGCGCAGCATGGTTTAGTCCTGTTTTAGTCTTGTTAAATCCTGGTTTAGTCCTGTTTTAGTCTTGTTAAATCCTGGTTTAGTCCTGGTTTAGTCCTGTTTTAGTCTTGTTAAATCCTGGTTTAGTCCTGGTTTAGTGCTGTTTTAGACCCAGTTTAGATCTAGTTTAGATCTAATTTAGACCTGGTTTTAGTCCTGGTTTAGATCTAGTTTAGACCTGGTTTTAGTCCTGGTTTAGTCCTGGTTTAGATCTAGTTTAGACCTGGTTTTTAGTCCTTTAGATCTTTTAGACCTGTTTAGTGGTTTAGTCTTGGTTTAGATCTAGTTTAGACCTGGTTTTAGTCTCGGTTTAGATCTAGTTTAGACCTGGTTTTAGTCCTGGTTTAGTCCTGGTTTAGATCTAGTTTAGACCTGGTTTTAGTCCTGGTTTAGTCCTGGTTTAGATCTAGTTTAGACCTGGTTTTAGTCTCGGTTTAGATCTAGTTTAGACCTGGTTTTAGTCCTGGTTTAGTCCTGGTTTAGATCTAGTTTAGACCTGGTTTTAGTCCTGGTTTTAGTCCTGGTTTAGATCTAGTTTAGACCTGGTTTTAGTCTCGGTTTAGATCTAGTTTAGACCTGGTTTTAGTCCTGGTTTAGTTTCTGGCAATAAGTGAAATTACCGAAAAAACAAAAAACAAAAAGGAGGATATAGCCCAAAATGCGAAAACAGGAAAACAGGAAAATAGCGCCGTGTAATCCATTTATTTTAACAAAGTAACAGTAATCCAATTACCACTCACTGAAACAGTAACTGTAACTGAATACAGTTACTCATCATTTGTACTCTGATTACGTAACTCCGGTACATGTAATCTGTTACTCCCCAACACTGGTCATGAAGCGGTAGTTTTCAAGTAAACAATTCCAGAGCTGAAATGATCCAAGTGATTCTAGTGAAGGTGTATGAAGTTTAACAAATACTAGGGCTGGGTATGATTAAGAAGTTGATTAATAATTGAAACTAAAGTGAAATGTACTGATTTGAAATGTTTCGTAACCATCGGTGTTGATGTATTGTCTGGAAAAAGGTGGCAGACAACGTAAGACATGACTCTTCTTTCTGCTCCTTTTCATTCATTTCTTGTATATTTGATGTTGTGACACTGTTGATGTCTTTTTATACTTTATGAATGAAAAAAAAAGTTGCTGATACAATACATACCTTGGTACATAGGCCACGATACGATACGTTTTTTTTGATACAGTGCACTTTCGAGTCAATACGATTCACTACGATATGTTTAAAAATCTATTCGATACTGTTTAGTAAAAAATAAAGGCTAAATCATGGCTGTGATACTAAAAGTTTTTGTTAAATCACTAAGTTTGTGCAACGTTAATATGAAAAACTGTAATTTTACTCATAAGAACAGTGAATATGTTAAATGTATCACATAAACAAGCTTCCTTTCTCCAAAAAGGCGACGCAATTGCATTTCTTTGACAAAATACTGTAGTAAAAAAAATACTCTTGGCAATATATCGATACGGCAGCCCACGATATCAATACTGTATCATCAAATTAAATGATGTTTGATAGAGTTTTTTCTGTATGGGAGAAGAACTCAGCCTAAATATGCAGGATTTGTGTGTTAAACGTGTGAAAGAAACAAAAGAAACACAACTCCAGGTCTGTTTTTGATAAGGAAACAACATTATAACAAATCATAAAATAGTGTCATATGTATCGTTTAAAAGTTCACTCATCAATGGTCGATTCTGCTTTTAAGATTTGGAACATTAAGCGGTTATGAATGTTTAAAGATATGTTTGTTGATGGAGTTTTTGCATCATTCTCACAGTCTGAAGTTGACTTTTTAATATTCCTCAGACACACTTTTTCCGTTATCTACAAATTCATCACTTCGCGAGCAGTAGATATCCATCCTTTCCTAACTAAGAGTAATTTAAAACATTTGGTTACATTTACAATCTCTGTCTCTTGCTATTATAAAATCACATTGGGAAAAAGATCTAGCGTTGAACATATCTGACGATGTTTTGGGGAGTTATCCTTTGTGAAGTGCACTCTTCTTCCGTTTGCTCCAGGCACGGACTTCTTCAATTTAAAGTCCTTCATCGGTTGCGTCATCTAAAGGCCCTGTTACACCTTGACGATTTAGAAAGCGTGTGCCCACTTTTGTTCGTCGGCGGTATGTGTCGTGCACTGTGCATAGGTTAGACCACAGGTGTCAAACATAAGGCCCGGGGGCCAGATCCGGCCCTCCAAGACCTTTATTGTGGCCCTTGGCTGATTTTGTACTAAAATATTTTAATTATATTTTCTATTAAAATATTGTTTATTTTCTGCAGCATCTCCAGAGCCTCTGTACGTGGCCCCTCCCACCAGAGCAGCACAAATGAAGACTTGTCTCTTTCCAAACGCTCTTAAAGGACGATCGTTTTGACTGTTGACCGTGACACCCTCATCAGAAAAATGTCCAACATGAGAAAAGTGGAGCCGAGTGCAGGATTTTCCAAGAAAAATTGTCTTATTCCTATTTCAATACAAGTTAATGTTAAACATTGTGTTGAAATTGCATTTTTCTTAAAGTTTCAGGTTGTTCATAATATTATAATATTTTGTAAAAGAAAGAGTTCATCAATTAAAAAGATTTCTGTAATAGATTTACGTTTCTCTGCACAAATATTTGAACCTATTGTTATTTTTGGGGTTTATATGACATGAATTTTCTGATCCGGCCCTTGTGGGATCAAAGTAGGTTGGATACGGCCCCCGGACCAAAATGAGTTTGACACCCCTGGGTTAGACTGTTGTTGGGCATAAGTTGTGGACGCTGGCAACACGTTAAGCATTAGTTGGTATAAGTTACCTAGAAGTTATCAAAACGTTCTATATAAGTTACTAATACGTTATGTACAGTGTTGGGGAGTAACAGATTACATGTACTGGAGTTACGTAATCAGAGTACAAATGATGAGTAACTGTATTCAGTTACAGTTACTGTTTCAGTGCGTGGTAATTGGATTACAGTTACTTTGTTGAAATAAATGGATTACATGGCGGTATTTTCCTGTTTTCACATTTTGGGCTATATTCCTCTTTTCTTTATTTTATTTTTTTCTTTATTTTTTTCGGTAATTCCACTCATTGCGGGAAACTAAACTAGATCTAAACCAGAACTAAACCAGGACTAAAATCAGGTCTAAACTAGATCTAAACCAGGTCTAAACCAGATCTAAAACAGGTCTAAAACCAGGACTAAACCAGGACTAAAACTAGGACTAAACCAGGTCTAAACCAGGTCTAAACTAGATCAAAACCAGGTCTAAACCAGGTCTAAACCAGGTCTAAACCAGGACTAAACCAGGACTAAAACCAGGACTAAACTAGATCAAAACCAGGACTAAAAACCAGGTCTAAAAACCAGGACTAAACCAGGTCTAAACTAGATCTAAACCAGGTCTCATCCAGGTCTAAACCAGGACTAAACCAGGACTAAACCATCCTAGTCTTTGCTTCCCTACAGCAAACCAAGTAATCCAAAGTATTCAGATTACGTTACTCACTTTAAATAACTTCATGGATTACGTTACAAACTACATTTTGGGGTATGTAATCTGTAATCTGTAGGGGATTACATTTTAAAAGTCACCTTCCCAACACTGGTTATGTATACGTCCAACTCGTTATGAATATGCCCAAAACTGAATAAAAACATGGATGGTTCAGCGTACGCCAGGGTTTTCGGGACATTCTGGTACGTGGGCAGACGCTTTCTACATCATCAAGGTGTGATAGGCCTTTAGCGTGACTGTGTATGTCTCTTTTTTAATCTGTCACTGTGTCTTTGTATTATCTGCTGTTTTTTCATTTGTTATTATTATTATATTACATTTTTTGAAATGTAGTTTTTATTATTACTATTACTATTGCTATTATTATTAATCTATTATTATTATTATTGTATTTTTTTTTTTGTTTTGTTTTCTCTTGGGGTTATTTTTGGAAAAAAATTTTTACAAATACGATGTTTGGTATACATACTTTTTAATTTGCTATCGAAATGTATAAATAAAATTAAAATCCAAGTCCACTGATGGACAAACGTGATGGAGAGACTGACCACGCCGTATGATTATGGAAGATGAGACTCTGAGCCGCTCGGAGTGAGTCAGAGTCATTTGAGCTGAGGCAGGAGCGCAGTGACCTCACCTGTCATTGTTGTCACCTGTCACTTTTGTCCACTACCAAAATGTGCCAAATGGGCCACCGTAATCACAGTAGGACAAGAACACAGCTCTGTACCACAGTCGAAATGTGAGAGATGTGACACTGATGTCAAGATGGAAAAAAAAAAAAGTATTCAGGTCACAAAATAATTGATACTTTCAGCTGATGGCGTGATGTTAACTGTAGGCACTGCTCTGTCTGAGGCTTCTTAGACTTAAGTCTGAACTTTATTTTATTCCAATTTGACCAGAAAGACGATTTGGAACTACATCAGGAGAGATGAGTTTCTGAAAATGTGTTGTTTAAACCCAATTTGTAGTTTGTCTTGACTTTTCAGACACTCTTAAAACGTGGTCAGTGTTTGCTAATGTGTGCGCTGTGTCGCCATGGTAACTGTCTCTTTCTTTGTCTCTTTTTCTCTCTCTCTGTCTTTCCCTCTGTCAGTCTCTCTTTCTTTGTCTCTCTGTTTGTTTCTCTCTCCCTTTCTTTTTCTCTGTCTCTCTCTCTCTGTCTGTCTCTTTCTCTCTCTCTGTCTGTCTCTTTCTCTCTCTCTGTCTGTCTCTGTCTGTCTGTCTCTCTGTCTGTCTGTCTCTTTCTCTCTCTCTGTCTGTCTCTTTCTCTCTCTGTCTGTCTCTCTCTTTCTCTCTCTCTGTCTGTCTCTTTCTCTCTCTCTGTCTGTCTCTTCTCTCTCTCTGTCTGTCTCTTTCTCTCTCTCTGTCTGTCTCTTTCTCTCTCTCTGTCTGTCTCTTTCTCTCTCTCTGTCTGTCTCTTTCTCTCTCTGTCTGTCTCTCTTTCTCTCTCTCTGTCTGTCTCTTTCTCTCTCTCTGTCTGTCTCTTTCTCTCTCTGTCTGTCTCTTTTCTCTCTCTCTCTGTCTGTCTCTTTCTTTGTCTCTGTCTCTCTCTCTCTGCCTCTCTCTCTGTTTGTCTCTCTCTGTCTCTCTTTCTCTGTCTCTCTTTTGCTTTCTCTCTCTCTTTCTGTCTCTCCCTCTGTCAGTTTCTCTGTATCTCTCTCTCTCTCCATCTCTCATCTGTCTCTCTCTGTCTCTTTTTCTCTCTCTCTGTCTTTCCCTCTGTCAGTCTCTCTTTCTTTGTCTCCCTGTTTGTCTCTCTGTTTGTCTCTCTTTCTCTTTGTCTCTTTCTCTATCCCTCTCTATCTCTCTGCCTGTCTCTCTGTCTGTCTCTCTCTGTCTCTTTGGCTCCCTCTTTCTCCATCTCGCTCTCTCTCTCTCTTTTTCTCTTTGTCTCTCTGTCCGTCTCTTTCTCTGTCTGGTTCTCTCCCTCTCTCTCAGTCTCTCTCTCTGTCTGTCTCTCTCTCTGTCTGTCTCTCTTCTCTCTCTGTCTGTCTCTCTCTCTGTCTCTCTCTTTGTCTCTCTCTCTCTCTGTGTCTGTCTCTCTTCTCTTCTGTCTCTTTTCCCCTCCCTCTCTGTCTCTCTCTTCTCCCCTTCCTGTCTCGGTCCCTCTCTGTCTCGCTGTCTCTCTCTCTCTCTGTATTTCTCTGTGTGTCTCCCTGTGTCTCTTTCTCTCTGTCCCTGTCTCCGTCAGTCTGTCTCTCTCTTGTTTGTTGACATTAGAAGAGCACAGTCTACATACAGTCCCTTTAGTCAAAATGTATGTCATTTCACTGCATTATTTATAATGTTGGAGAGTTCCGACGGGATCAGTAACGCATGTATGTCTCTCTCCATCCATCTTTCTCTGTCTCTCTTTCCCCATCTCTATCTCCATCTATCTCTCTCTCTCTAACATCAGCACAGATAATAAGAATAACAGTGTGAGTGTGCGCTGACCGTCTCGAGGCCCAGCAGCACCAGCAGGGGGATGGTGGTCATTCCTCCCTGGATCCACTCCTCCAGAGACACCGTCCCGTCGCGGTCGTAGTCGATCTCCTGCATCATCTCCTGGAGGATCTGACACGACAACAAACAGTTACTATGACAACGCTCAGGTGACTCTAACAACTCTTTAAAGCTGCACTGTGTAACTTCTTGTGGGTCTTTCGCTTGCTTGGTTCCGTGGAGATGTCATTACTCTGCCTGGAATGTTATTATGGTTATTAATGTAGAAAAGTAATGGTTTCTTGTGTTTCTTATTGCGTTGTTGTAAGTCCGTTGTTGATCAGTAAATAATTGGTAGTTTATTGTAATTTTGTTTTTCCTCCATCGTCGTTCTGCCCTCCTGCACTCTCTCTTGGATTCTTTCAGAGCTTCAATATCTCCATGGGGGTTTTAGCTTAGTTTTGATGTTTTTAGTTTTGAGTGGAGCAACCAGATCCAGAGCTGACCGTAGTTTACTGTTAAAAATCATTGGGGGAATTTTATTTAAAACTTCGATAAAATTTGCAGCCACTTCAGGGGTCAGACGGCGCTTCCTCACAGTTCTCACAGAGGTCTCACGTTGTATAAAACCAGTGATGTTAAAAAACACACAGTAGTGGTCAGACACAGCCAGGTCAACAACAGAGGACACACTAGTGGTCAGGCCATAGGTGATGACCAGATCCAGAGTGTGTCCTCTGTTGTGAGTTGGCTGTGTGACGTGCTGAGTAAAATCCATATAATTAAGAACATTTAAAAATTCATTTGCAACAGGATCTAAAAGATTATCTCTGTGCAAGTTCAAATCACCGGTTATAATAATCATATTAAAAGAATTGTGTAAAATAGATAAAAACTCAGAAAACTCATTGATAAAAATACTGCATGTCTTTGGTGGTCTGTACACTGTAACGCATAAAATCTGGGGGTTGCTAAAAACAATTGAGTGGTGTTCAAAACTTGTAAAATTATTCAATAAAATAGGTTTGGTGGCCAAAGTGTTTGTACAGATAGAAGCAGTGCCACCTCCCCTTTTACCATTTCTGGTTGAAAAAGCAAAGTTAAAAGTGGGTGGTGAGGCGTCTGTGAGAACAACTGGTGCATCTGTACCCAGCCATGTTTCAGTTAAAAAGAAGCAGTCAAGTTTGTGTTCTAAAATTAGGTCATTTACAATAAAAGACTTGTTCAGCAGAGAGCGGACATTTAAAAGGGCCATGTTTAGGGTTAATGGTGACTGTGAAACTACAGGAATTTGTGGTGGATGTGCTTTTTGAAGAGGTCTAAGATTATTGATGTTGGCGGTGGCTCTATGAGATGTTTTATGCTTATGCCGCTCTCTGCTGATAATAACGGGAATTAACTGTCCTTGATTATATTGTCATGCTGAACCTAGTGTGAGTTCAATATTATATGAGAGGAAACAGGATCCAGGGATGTTGAGGTGTAGTCTGTTCTTTTTAAAATGTTCAGGTCTCTTAAAAAATGTGATAAAATTGTCCACGTAGGGGATTTTATTGTCTCTGCAGTATCTTTTGAGCCATATGTGCAGTGCTCTTAAACGGCTGAACTTCTCGTCTCCAAGACGAGGTGGTACAAAGGGTCCGGAGACGATACACTGTTTGTCTAAACTGTGGATTGTGGTGATGAGGATTTTGAAATTGTCCTTAAGTGTTTCTGACTGCTGCAATTTGAGGTCGTTAGTTCCGACATGAATAACTACCGTTGATACTGTGGGGTGATGACGTAAGGTGGTGGGGGTGGAGTCTATGATGTCCTTCACGAGAGCACCTGGGTGACAGGAGGTGTGGCCTTTTTGAATTCTCACGTGTCGGACCATGGAGGAGCCGAGAACCAGCACAGACGGGTCTGGTCTGGACGCCGGGGCCGAGGGCACCACAGAGACGTGAGCCGAGCTCTGGGAGGCGGCACGGTCAGGAGCGAGACCATCTCCTCGACATGCGCGAGGAGGGAACGGAGGCCCCTCTCGGCGCACGCGGAGAGGGGGCTGCGGGTCCCCCCCCCGTCACGGAATCTCCGGCAGAACCTCCGGGTGGCACCGGGGCCGCAGGGGAAGACCTGGACAGCAGCGGAGACTCACTCTCGTGCAGGTTACCCAAGGCAGGTGGCGGTGTGGTCATGGTCATGCCGCGTGCACCGGGATGATCTGATGGTGGAGCCGGGGTGAAGTGCAGCTGGCAGTTGTAGGTTTGGGGCAACGGAGGAAAATCCTCATAGTCCAAGACATTGAATTTATTTGCCAGGGATATGGAGGAGCAAGACGGCCGGTTTGCTCGCTTACCTCGCTGTCCGGAGCAATTACGGGGTAGAACAGTCCAGGGATCTGATTGGACTGGAGTAGAGCTCAGCGGGGCTTTAGGTCTAGCCCCACGCTGAAGCCAGTAGTGATCACCTTGTACCAGTTGGGACGCCAGGGTCGGGCGGAGAGGGCTGGTGCTCAGGGGCGTCTCCGGAGTAGTGGAACGGTGTCAGCCAGCTGGGCGCTGTTGGACGGTGGCACGGGTCTTCCCCAGGATGATGTTCTGGTCGCTCTCCAGTCGGCTTTCAAACATGGATATACGTTGTTCCAACTCAGCTACCCTCTGACTGAGGACGTGGCAGCTGTCGCAGCTGTCACAGCTGGACGTAGAGGTGAGTGGGTGCATGGTTCACCTGTAGCCATGCAGCGATTTCACTAGTTGGCTTAATTTCGGGCAATTTCAGAATCAGGTTGTAACCAAAGTTAATAAGTGCCTCAATGTTTTTTATTCCCCTCTAAAAGATGTCTTAATTATTGGTAAAAACTAAGTGTTTGGGAATCGATCGAGCTAGCGTAAACACATAACAGTTTTGAAGTAACTTGCTCAACAGTGGTGAGTGGAGTTGACTCTCCACAGATCTGACCTGTAACTTGGTCTGGTTTGAAGATAGAAAGGTTTAACACCATACTGTGAAACATTCCAGACAAAGTAATAACATCTCCATGGAGCATTTGACACTAGAAAAGTTACACAATGTATGTTTACGGACTTTTTTCAGCATCAGTGCTTAGTTCAAATGAAAATCTAGTGTGATACATCTCTACAGAAAACATCACAATTAACATTAATATTGAAACTACTAAACACAAAAACTGTTTATCTAGTTAAGTCTTTTAAAAGGTCCTAAATAAGCTCTATTCACATTTACAACACAAACCAGGAGGACATTTGGAAACATGCGATTACATCTTCCCAGGCCCAGTTTTCTTCATCTCCATGTCATAGTATTGTTCCGTTATGTTCAGCTCATCAACAGTTACAACCAGGGATGGGCATTCGAAGAAATTTTATTAATCGATTGTCGGGAGAATTAACGATCAATTTTCGATTAATCATTAACGTTTTATATAATCAGTATCATCATTGTTATTACTATTACTAATTTGCATAAATATACTCAACTTGACAACATATAAACCAAAACTACTATAGAACCACATCAGCCCATTTGAGAGCAGAATGTGTTTTAATGCAGCTTTGTGCAAGTCTTACAGAAACGAAACTTAAAACCGCATGGCTAATTTGCATAAACTAAGCGAAGAAAAAAAAAAAACGCTCTTGTGCGCTGATGTGGTTCAGCTTCTGTCAGACTAAAGGACACGACTCAGTGGAATATGAGTGTTCTCTCTGTGCCAGAGGGGTGTTGATGCTGAAGGTGAGTCTGTTCTGTGTGTGTCACGATGTTTTCAAAGATCGTACGTGTGCAGGTTTAGTGCAGCTTGTTATGCTGCAGTAACTGGGATACTGCATAAACATGCACCATGACGACACCGGGACACTGATGTGGAGGTAAACACACTCACTGAGGGGTACAGTGATCTCCAAGGAGGTACCAGAGTCCAAACGTGGGACTGAGGCTGCAACTCCAGTGTTTGCGCAGCTTCATATCTACACACACAAACCTACATTCAGTTTGTTGATTAGAAATTACGTAAAAAAAACGTAATCGACGAAATTCTGAATGATAAATTATAGATTAATCGACTAATCATGCCCATCCCTAATTAAAACCATACCTTAGTTGTCATTATTTCCTCATTGATGCACAACTCTGAGTGCACTGGGTACATGCCAAATTCCAGATGATTCCAAACATCACATATGTATGCAGTCTTCATTTTACTGCGGATCAGTGAGTTTGTTGGTTTTAATAGATCCGTGTTAGCTGAAGTTGTAATCGCATCTTTCCAAACGTCTTCCTGGTAACCGTGAACAGAGCCTATTATGCAAAAATGACTCGTCTGAGCTTTAAGGCATGTTCATGTTATAATGCTGTTTACTTCCTCAAAAAATACCTGGAGTTGTGTTTGAGTAATCCTTTATTCTTAGTCCATCTACATCTCCAAAGCTCAAAATGCTCTGGAATTGTCCATTTCTACTGAACAAAAGGTAAAAGGTTTCCCAGTTAACATGAAAACTACCACTACATGACATCACAAGGTGGAACAGAGCATTTTGAGCTTTGGAGATGTACTCAAGCATGTGCAAGTTAAACTAAATCAACTCCAGGTCTGTTTTTGAGAAGGCAACAGGATTCCAACACGACTAAAAGCTCACAAGAATCAATGTTGTGTAAAATAGGATTGTTAAGCAGTTCATTATTTAGTGGAGCTGCTCAAATTTCACTTTAATATTTTTAAAAATGATAGTTTCCCCACGACAAAAGTCTTACTGGTTTGAGCTCGGTCACGTCCCACTCCAGGTATTCAGCCACGTGCATCATCTGTGATATGATGTGCTCCAGCTCCTGTGGGCATAACACACACCCACACACACACACGCACACACACACACACACACACTTTAGAAACACACAGTGGCTGTATTTATCTCTGTAAGATGTTTATTTTATTTGATTATATTTTATTTTTTACTTTTTAAATGTACCTGTTGAAGATGTATGTGAGTGGTTTCAACACGATGCTTCTTTTTCACACTTACAACTTAATGGTTAATTGGCAAAGGAGAATTTTATAATCTAATTCGCAGATTTTTTATTTAATTAATTAATTTATTTATTTATTTATTTTTGAGGCTTATTAGTTTGAAATTAATCTTAAAAACAGTTTCACAAAAAAACTTTGAAGATTTAAATATATATATTTTTAATTCTTTTTTTTTTTTTTTTTTTTACTTAATTCCATATACCTTCCTTCTGCACTACACTATTTTGTGCATTATTTTCTGTTGTATTCAGTTCAGTTTAATTACATTTCTGCATGTCCAGGCAGTTACAATAAGAGAAGAGTTATTTTTACTTCACTACTTTCCAGGACCACTATATGAATATTATAATAATACTTGAATATAATAATATTATATTGAAGTAAGGATAATCTTAGTACAAGAACAATTTTCGACTGCTCTACCCAGTCTTAGATCATATAAGCAAAGAAAATCTAACCTTAGACTTTAACAAACTTTAATGATCCACAAAAGGAAATGATTTGGACAAAGTAGCTCACACATCACAGTATATTATAATAACAGAGAGCAAATTTAAATAATAATAAGTAGCAAAAATAGAAAGAGACTGGTGTTAAATAAGACAATTATATAAATGTATATGTACAAGTCAAAATATGATAATGATAAAATATTGTAATACAAATATATTTCAGCTATACACAAGACATAACGAAAGTAGAGTACATTTTACTTTAACTGAAGAAAATTTTACTTTTTTTTTAAACAAAAAAAACTATATTTGGTCCCTGTCTAAAAAGAGTAAAATTTATGCTTGCAAAAGTGTACTTTTACCCTAAATGATTAAATTATACTCTTATTTAAAGAGAAATAAAGTTACTCTACCAGCATTCTCCACTAAATACAGTAGAATTTACTCCAAGATTATGAATCATTTTACCATCATTTTACTCCAATTAATAATAATATTATTAGGTACCTATAAGGTAGCTACATGAAAGCTCAGGCTGTGGCAAAAGTCGAAAGATCGCTAGATTGTGATCTACACTTTGCTTGATCTGGATGATAAAACATGTGCATTTTAATCAGCAGGTCAATAGTGTGGCAGTAAAAACGTCTGGAGCTGACGAAGATTTACACTCTTTGTTTAGGAAAAAGCAGCCCGTGCCACTTTGCATCTCTTTATGTCCGTCATGTGATGTTCACAGGTTTTCACTTAAATCTGCATCTCCATTTCCCAGCCTATTGTGATCCCTCTTTGCTACCTCCCTATTTGTCCTACAGCTGCTTCTCAATGCCTCCTCATCCCAGGATAACCATATGGAAAAAAAAAAAAAAAAAAAAAAGAATTTACCACTGTCTTTGTAGTAAATCTTTATATAAGGATTATGTGTCATGTGTGATTTACTCCTGAAAGTTTCCCCCTTTTGCATTTTTCTTATACAACTATATTATGATAAACTTATAAAGATACAGTGAAGATTTTGCATGACATTTACAGGTAATTTGCATGATAAACTACATTTTCTTTGTATGTTCCATGTAATGTTTGTATTCTTTAATTATATGTTGCAGTTAAAACAAAACAAAATCTGATTCAGAAAGGGGATTTGAACCCAGGTCTGCCCATGTGAAAGCCCAGTGACTTACCAATAAAGCTAACCAACTACTACCTGTGGAGGGAACTATAGCAGATGTTGAGGACAGTTACAAGTACCTCAAAATCCCACAAGTACATGGCAACTTCGAAGAGGCAACAAGGAAAGAGGCTACAGGATTTTGCAGAGTAAAAATCTTTTCACAGCCTGATGTATGTTCACTGTGACATCAGTGGAAGAGTGTGTGTCTTATGTTTTTTACAGGTTGGTAATGCAATATTTACATTACTGTGTTTACCCCTATGCTGCCCACACACACACACACACACACAATTTTCTTTCTCACTCTCATACACACACAACACAGCAATCAAGTTTAAGGAAACAATCATCATTTCACTTGTTTTTCTCTGATTTTGTGGTAAAAATGACCTTTGTCCAACACTTGTGAGGATATTGTTTGTGGGATTAGTGTCATATTCATCCCTTGCAGGTTACAAAGTTTTATATATGTTTCATGTTGCACATATTTACCAAAGATCTTGTAACTGTTTTCACTGTATATCCAAATCTTTTAAGATTCAGATAAAACATGTTCAAATGGTGTATGATTTGTCTATACCTTTTCCATATGGGTAGTCTGTACATCCTCCCCTTGTTCATTCAGTCTTTGCTCGATTGTTGACCAGTCAAGAGACACTCAAGCTTTGTGTCTGAAACTATGATTCTGAAATCTGCTGTTTGCAATTTGTGCAATTCTGCATTATTCCCTCTTTGTAGAACCTGTTTCTGAGTTTATTCATTCCCAGCCTGTTTTCTAATTAGAGTATTTCCCAGTTTTGGAGGATATTTTAGTTCACATAATAAAATCATATCTTGCTTTGTTGTTTATCAGCCCAATTTATCATATTAAGCATCACCTATAGAAGGACACTTTCTGTTCAACTGTACTAAGACGTTTGTGTTTGACTGTGTTCTTTGTGATGCATCTGAGTCCAAGTTAACTATGTGATAATGTGGTGTTGTTTAAGCGTTCCCCCTCTCCCCCTCCCTCTCTGATCCAGCCATCTCCTCTGGTGCTTCTCATCTTTATATTCCAAGTTATGGAGAGTAAAGGCAGTAATACTTGCATTTACAATCCGTGTCTCATTCGTTCATTCGTTTTTCAATATAAAACCAAAAATAAGAAAATGAAAAAAGCAATTATTTTCATTATTATTTGTCTCCAAAACCAAAATGGAAGAAAAAAAAAACAGATAACGATTAGTTTTTTCAGTTTTCAATTTTGTGTTTAAATGAATAATGAAAAAATTGGATAAAGGCCGTTTCCTTTTTATGTGACTTAAACTGCGATGCTGCATACGGACTGAACCAGGACTGAACCAGGACTAAAACAGGACTGAACCAGGACTGAACCAGGACTAAACAGGACTAAAACTGGACTGAACCAGGACTGAACCAGGACTAAAACAGGACTAAACTGGACTGAACAGGACTGAACAGGACTAAAGGACTAAAAACTAACAGGGACTGAACCAGGACTAAAGACTGAACCAGGACTGAACCAGGACTAAACAGGACTGGACTGAACAGGACTAAACAGGACTGAAACAGGACTGGACTGAACCAGGACTAAAACAGGACTGGACTGAACCAGGACTGAACCAGGACTAAACCAGGACTAAAACTGGACTAAACCATGACTAACCAGGACTGAACCAGGACTAAAACTGGACTGAACCAGGACTAAACCAGGACTAAAACAGGACTGAACCAGGACTAAACCAGGACTAAAACTGGACTAAACCATGACTGAACCAGGACTAAAACAGGACTGAACCAGGACTAAACCAGGACTAAAACTGGACTAAACCATGACTGAACCAGGACTGAACCAGGACTAAAACTGGACTGAACCAGGACTGACTGACTGAACCAGGACTAAAACAGGACTGAACAGGACTAAACAACAAAACAGGACTAAAACTGGACTAAACTGAACCAGGACTAAAACACTGGACTGAACAAACCACTGACTGAACCAGGACTAAACAGGACTGAACCAGGGAAACCAGGACTAAAACTGGACTAAACCAGGACTGAACCAGGACTAAAACTGGACTGAACCAGGACTAACCAGGACTAACAGGACTGAACCAGGACTGAACAGGACTGAACCACACGACTGAACCAGGACCAGGACTAAAACAGGACTGAACCAGGAACATCGGGATGGGCCTGGAGGTGCACCTGTGTAGACTGTCGGGTGATCAGGACTGAGACTGGGACCAGATTGGGACTGAGACCCGGACCTGACCGAGACCAGGACTGAGACCAGGACTGAGACCGGTTCAGTCATGTTTTAGTCCTGTTTTAGTCCTGCTTCAGTCCGTATGCAGCGCAAAAGTCCGACATCGCAGTGTAAGTCACAGAAACGTCCTTTATCCGTTTTTTTTTCATTATTCATTTAAAAACTAAATCAAAAACTGAAAAACGAATCATTATCCGTTGTTTCATTTTGGTTTTGGAGACAAATAAAGAAGAAAATAGTTTTGTTTTTTTTTCATTTTCTTATTTTTGGTTTTATATTGAAAATCAAATGAACGAATGATACACGGATTATTTAGGTTTAATATATTGTACAAACTCATTCCAAACTTTACATGTGAATTTTTCTGGTAATTATTGGTCCTGTCAACATGAAATAAGAAATAGTGAAGTCTGAAGCCTTTTCTATACGATGGAAGAAGATCAAATCGAAAATCAAGATCGATCATATCGCCCAACACTACTCAAAGCGACTAAAATCAAACTCCAGACTTTAAAAGTACACAGACCCTTTTTTTTGCAGCGTACTGAGTGAATGGGGCAGGAGCAGGCGGGCGAAATGGCAGGGTGCAGAGCCTCTCTCCTCACACATGCACAGAGACAAAAGCTGACGCTCTAATGACTATGTTTGCGTTTCTCCTCCGTGACATTATCCACAAAATTACCCGTGAATCACTGTGATGAGGGTCTGACTCATTACGGTCATTTCAATTTACTCACATGCTCTATTCAGGTCAAGTCTTTAAATACGAGCAGATTATAAGGCCTATTCACACACACCCCGGCTCTGAAAGGTTACAAATAATAAGATCTGTTACACAAACCCGCCGCCCACCCGGTCTCCTCTTCAGCTCCGCACCTAAATTTACTACGTGATACGCACCCACGCTCCAGACTCTCATTTAAGTAAACAAAGACGAACTTGCGTATTGTTCAAAGCCGGTGATCAACAACGTGTTAAAAAGGTTAAAAACGCTTTCGTAAGATGTGGAGACGTCATGACTCAGTTTGCTTTGTGTAGTTTTTCTGTTGTGTAACCTATTTTTTATACTTCAGTGTTTGAAAAATGTGTTGACAGTGGATAGACATGCTCGCTAAAGGATGTGTTAATGCGTCTGGTGCAGTGTGTGTGTGTGTGTGTGTGTTTTGTGTATGTACGTGTGCGTCTTTACCGAGCTGTCCAGGGATCCGTTGCCGTCGGTATCGTAGAGGCGGAACATGACTGCGGGGACACAGAGCTGATGTTAGTGTTAGCGTTTATGTGTCATTCAGGTTTGGCTGCGAGGACGCACGCGGCCAATCGCGGCACGGCACCGCTCGTCCCCGGAAACCATGGAAACGGCCGTCTCCTCATCACAACTGTCACAAGGCTCTTTTTCCAAGTGTCTCCAGCACAATCTGCACATTGGTTTTATTGATACACTGCGGTGACGTCACGCCGGGGGTGTTCTACGTGTATGTTTATGATGGAGTGATCATCGGTTACCATGGCGATACAATGCACTCTTTAGCAAACACTGTCATGTCTGAAAACTCAAGAAAAAATCTAAAATGGATTCAAAGCCTGTGATCAATACGAGGTTCATGGTCATGTTTAGGTGAGAGTGGCTAAGTGAAAAAGCTCATCTGTTGTGTTCCAGCCAGGTGAGTTTTTTTCTGGTCAGATTGTGTTAAAACAAACCCCAGATTAAAATCTAACTTGAGTAACAGAGCTTCAGACAGAGCAATGCCTCAGGCCCAGTCCACACTAGTACATATTCGAGTCATTTTCGTTGCAGATCCAGTGTTCGTCCACACTAATCCGATTGAAAACGGTTCCAGAGACGGAATGATCTGGTGCCGCCAGCTCCCATGGATTCATTTGAGTACGGATCTGATCTGGCACTGTGTGGACGCCTGAAAGCACTGATACGCTGATGCAGGTCTGTACACCGCGAAGTAATTCACCACCAAAACGCTAAGAGGCGAGAATATATGTCCATTCATATATACGGCCTGTGCGTACGACCTGCAGATGTATAATTTCTGAAAAGTTTAGAATGAATCCATCTCCAATGCAACAGAAGCACAGAGCAGACTCACCATCAACAGAACACCATCACCCTCTGTCACAAAAAGAACACTCATATTCCACTGAGTTGTGTCGTTTTTAAGTCCGATAGAAGCTGAACCACATCATTGCACAATAGAGAGCTGTTTTTTGGAGATCTTAGTTTATGCAAATTAGTCATGTAGTTTTAAGTTTTGTTTCTGTAAAATGTAAACAAATATTCCCAAAGCTGCGTGGATAGTGAAGGCTTGCGGACACAGAAACTATGTGTCTGGACGTTTCCGATACAGTGATACAGTGACACACGGATTCCTTCTAGTGTAAACATCTCAGTTAGCTTCATGGTCCCAGGGAATGTTGACGACATCAGCTGCAAAGCATCACTTGCTGAGTTTCAGATATTATCACAGCATTCTATAAGCCAATCATATTTAATACAGATGGGGGTAGCTAAAATAAATATAGTTTAAACTAGGGATGGGCATTTCGATTAAATTTTCTTAATTGATCGTCAGGAGAATTAAAGGGACAGTTCAGAATCTTGGACATAGGGCCTCATTTCCTAGTGAGCCTGAGTGTAAGAGACGTGTGGAGAAATTTTTTTTAATATTCCATCCAGTCCTTGTATTTGCAGAGGTCGCTGGTGCTAGGCTAGTGCATGTCAATGGCCATAGTTATCCTGCCACTAAAAACACTCTTACCCACTTCACAAACCTGAAGCAAATCTATTATTACACCAGACTGTCGATGTAAATGTCTGTGTTGATAGAATATTGCATTTGAAGGATTTATGTCTGAGCAGCAGCAGAGAGTTGTACTTCCTGATAGAAAGCTTGGCAGCCGCGGACTGATATGAGAAAATAGTTCCTCAACATGTGACGATTCATGCGATGCAAGGTTAGCTTTATTTCAAACATTATTCTATCAACACAGACATTCACATGGACAGTCTGGTGTAATAATAGATTTGTTTCAGGTGTTTTGTGGAGTGGGTAAGACTGTTTTTAGTGGCAGGATAACTATGGCCATTGACATGCACTAGCCTAGTAACAGCGACCTCTGCAAATACGGACTGGACGTCTCCTACACTCTGGCTCACTAGGAAATGAGTCCCTGTGTTCAAAATTCCAAACTGTCCCTATAACAATAACATTTTTTGATTAATCATTAATGTTTTTAGGATTAAAATGATCATCATTATTATTACTATTACTAATCTGCATAAATAAACTCAACTTCGTAACATATAAACCAAAACCACTACAGAACCACATCAGCCCGTTAGACATTATAATGTGTTTAATGCAGCTTTGACACATTTGTTTACGTTTTACAGAAACAATACTACTATATGTGCTGAAAAAAGCTTTTTCCTTTTGTGCTGATGCGGTTCAGCTTCTGTTGGACTAAAGGACACGACTCAGTGGAATATGAGTGTTCTCTCTGTGACAGAGGGATGTTGATGATGATGATGGTGAGTGTGTTCTGTGTGTGTGCTGCGTTGGAGATGGTTCATGTTTTCAGAGATCAGACATGTGCAAGTTTAGCGCAGCTCTTTATTTAAGACTCATTTCACTCTATTTATTTTGGCTCCTGTTGTGATGAAAAGACTGAAAATTGTTTGTCTGTCAGACGCAGCCTCCTCTCCTTACGCTGCGCTACAGCAACTTACATTTGGTTTGTTGATAAAAAATGAACATGATCGATGAAATTCTTAGTGATCAATTATCGATTAGTTGACTAATCATGCCCATCCCTAGTTTAAATATATATTTTTTGTTGTAATACAGTGAGCACTAGGATCTTGTCACTAATAGAAATGTTCAGGTTCAACATTTGTGGATTTACCTTTTGGATATTTCATGGCAAAGTAGAATGTAATCAATGGGGAAAGGGAAAGGGTTGGCAAAAGTATCTAAAATGAGATACTAATCTATATCAAAACTAATATCAAAACTAGATCCTCATTTGAGCAAAAACAGTATGTTCTGAAATGTGATTCTTGTATTCCCTTTGTCAGTTCAGATTTTAGTCTTTTGTCAGTTCTTCTGGATGTGCTTAAAATGTGAACTTTGAACAGACTCCTATTATTAAAACATAAATTCAATCGCACCTGTAATGCTGATTTGTTAAATTGTGATTTTGGTTTGGTTTCGTCATAGTCTTTTGGGCATAATCTTGTGTCCTCTGCTGACCTCACAGTAGCTGGCTCCCTGTGAGGGGGTCTAAGTATGGATCAGTGTGAGGGAGGTCTCTGTTTGGAGCTGTTTATACTGTAGGTCAGTAGTGCCCGACCGCCTGGCTCCCACACACAGCAACCATCACAACTGAGCTTCACCAGACGTCACTCTAAACAAATGTGCACCCAGCGTCAATTCATTGTGTTGTTTATTTGAAATTATTGGAGCTGTGAAAACAATTTGTAGTAGCTCTTGATAGAAGATGTCTTAAAAGTAGCCAGCCTGGCGCCACCTAGTCGCTGGAGAGAAATGAAATTGAGCGGAGGGACTAGGTGGCACCAGCCTGGCTACTTTCAGGAATCAGAATCCACTAGACGGTTCGCAAAAACCCTGGAAGTGTGAGTTCGGGCACCAGACAATCAGCGAAGAGCCATACATTCTGTGTTTTCAATGATTTCCAAGATCGAGGATTTAAAGCCGGAACAAAGAGAATGTTTGGTGAATTTTATCAAGGGGAAAGACGTTATTGCCCTTCTTCCTACGGGATTTGGGACAAGCTTAGTTAGCCCCGTTAGCAGCGCATTACATACATCACGACCAAATAGCAGCGATTAGTTAAATGAAAAAAAGTACCTGCCTACTGTCAAGCGAACCTGATTTTTTGCTTTTCTTACCCCTGAATGTCAAAGTAAACCCAGTGTGCCGTCTGTGTAGAATTATAAAATATATTCTTCTTAGTCCGATAATCAGGAAGTGTGAGAATAGCATGTTAGTGGAAACTTTAACTGAAGAAAAAATACAAAATGGATTTAAAGACTGTGATCAATACGAGCGTTCCTGGTCATGTTTAGGTTTGTGTGAAAATAAATAAATAAAAAATAGCATCTTTAAAAAATTTAAGATAAGAACTAAGAAAAAAGTTATTGTTTTTCTGTTTGAGGGGTTTGTGTCTGGAACAAGCTGAGTGATTTAAAAAGGTCTGTTCAGACCGGGGCCTCTATTTGGACGACTTTGCATTTGAACTCAGATGCTCCTGACGCCCCTGGTCTAGTTCTGGTCTTGTCCTGGTCTAGTTCTGGTCTTGTCCTGGTCCAGTCCTGGTCCAATCCTGGGCTAGTGTTGGTCTAGTCCTGGTCTAGTCCTGGTCTAGTCCAGGTTCGTTCCTGGTCCGGTCCTGGTCTAGTCCTGGTTTAGTCTGGTCCTGGTCTGGTCCTGATCTAGTCCTGCTTTAGTCTGGTCCTGGTCCGGTCTTGTTCTAGTCCTGGTTTAGTCTGGTCCTGGTCCGGTCTTGTTCTAGTTCTGGTTTAGTCCTGGTCCGGTCCTGGTCTAGTTCTGGTTTAGTCCTTGTCTGGTCCTGGTGCAGTCCTGGTCTGGTCCTGGTCCAGTCCTGGTCTGGTCCTGGTCCGTTCCTGGTCCATTCCTGGTCCGGTCCTGGTCTAGTCCTGGGTTAGTTTTGGTCCAGTCCTGGTCTAGTCCTGGTTTAGTCTGGTCCTGGTCCAGTCCTGGTCTGGTCCTGGTCTAGTCCTGGTCCGTTCCTGGGCCTGGTTTAGTCTGGTCCTGGTCTGGTCCTGGTCTAGTCCTGGTTAAGTCTGGTCCTGGTCCGGTCCTGGTCCGGTCCTGGTCCGGTCCTGGTCTAGTCCTGGTGTAGTCCTCGTCCGGTTCTGATGTGGTCCTTGCGATCGGTTCGGCGATCTTTCTCTTTCCTCTGGATAATGACATCGCTACGTCACTGGATACTCCTCCCTGATTGGTTGATACGGCGCGTCTGACGCCCTGGATGCGCGTCTTGAGTGTTCTGGTGTTGACGCTCTAGACGCCAGATTCTTGCCGTGCTGAAGCCTGAAGACACGGCGCCAAAACGCAGGACGCCCTAGACACGCGTCCACCTAGACTTTACATATAATCTAGACGCCTTGACGCTCTGGTCTGAACTGGCTCTAACACTGTAGAAGGTCACTAGTATAAAGCGTTAAGTTTTGAAAGATATAGAGCTCTCAAATGAATGAATTATGCATTAAATTGTGTTTGTTTTAATTTATATTTTGTCTCTTATATGTACAGTAAGTCACAAGTAAACTGTAAATGCAAACTTGCTGTTCATACGCTGATTTCTTTCTTGGAATTCTGTTATTGTTTAATAGTTTTAGGCATCATAAATATTTTTAACTTCAGCCTAAACCCTTTCAGTCATGATCCATGGGGTTGTAGTCTATGTTTTATTTTGTTTTGTAGTGCTGTAAAAGGACCGTGGCTAAAGATAGCTTGTGTCACAAATCAGATCTCCTGTTGTAGTTCCAGCTAAGCCATTTCTTTCTGGTCAGATTGTGACAAAACAAAACTCAGATTAAAGTGTAACTTGAGTAACAGAGCCTTCAGACAGAGCAGTGCCTACAGTTAGCTTCACACCCCCAGGAAATGTCGATGACGTCAGCCGCAAAGTGTCAATAAGCAAATATGAAACTAAAAATTAAATCATGATCAATATTTTAATCTGAAGTCGTCTTAAAGGGCCAATATTACACTATTTTCTGATCTGTTCTAATGTTTCCTCATCACAAACAGACCCGGAGTTGTGTTTTGTTTCATTCACACATGTTTGACACGCAAATCCTGCATCTCTCAAACAGAAAACACTCTGTTCCACCTTGTGATGTCATGAGGTAATACAGGAAGTGCAATCATTTGGATGATTTCAGCCCTGGAATAGGAGGGTTTCAGTCACATGATCACGATGATGCACGAATTTCGGTGGAGGGCAGGAAGTGAAGACAAACACGACAAACACGGCTCTGGAGAACACAGATATGGAGAAGAGTTCTTATTGTCAGGATTTAGAGCCAGTAGCGAGGCAAAAGTACGAGCAGTTAGTTTACCTAGTTCTCCAGACATCGTTCTACACCAGACAACAGATGAAGGCGTACAAAAGTTTGGAGGCATAGAACTTTTTTTTGTCAGTGGATGGGTCCTCAACCTTGGTGCAAAACGCCTACGTGATGATTATCGTTTGGTCTTGGCCGGGGTGAGTGTTTCTTATTTTATGTGTATAGATGTTATGGGAAAAACTGCAGTGTATCGGCAGTAACCTCTATCCCAACTATTTAATGTCAACAAACGTCATTAGCTATTAGTCATTAATGATTCGTTTATGTTAAGGTAAACCACAAAAAACAATTTAGCTTTGTAACAAACCTTTGACGAAGTGGTCACTGCAGACACGAGCATTTGCGGATTCTGCTCCTCCCGACCAAAAACAGGTTTGTAATCCACTTTTTTACGGCGTTGTTCTGTCAGCTTTTCCCATTTCTGACCTTTGTGGACGACTATCCTCGGTACTCTAAAAAAATCGCTTTTCCTTCTCTCGGTTAGAACGATTGACACAGCCGTAAACTAGGATGACCATATTTCTGTTTGTGTCCTGTTTCAGTTCTGGTTTAGTACTGTTTTAGTCCTAGTTCAGTCGTGGATTAGTCCTCCTCTTCAGTCCTGGAATCTGTCCTAGGTTAATCCTGGTTTGGTCTTGGTTCAGTCCATGGCGTAGGCAGTGCAAAAATTTGATATAATCTCCGGTTAACGGGCAGGTGCGGTGTTGTACTGGGGGTCTCCAAAAATGGACCCGTGCAGTTCTCTGCGCTGTTGGGCTCCATTACGGAATAAATTAATCTTCAATTCGTTACATAAAGAAGGAGATAAATAACATAAGGACGACAGCAGAAATAAGTTTTAAGAAGGAAGTAAAAAGGGTTGCACCTGCCCTGTCTGAGAAAAGTGTATAAAGTGTGTGCTGAGGGGTTTTACAGCCTTAAAACAGATATAATAATTGTAAAATATAAAGTTGACTACTCGGTATCTTGCAGGCTGACTGACTGTGTCTCGCTCCTTCTGAGTCACAGATGCTACGAGAGACGCTCAGTTTAATGAACGGTAATGAAAACCCGGACATTTGCATCACTTTATTAAAAAAAAAAACCCGGACGCCCCGGACATGATAAAATACGGACATGTCCGGGGAAAAACGGACGTTTGGTCACCCTACGTAAACTACACAACACACAGGCATTTTCCAGAAAAAGAAACAACAGCTTCCTCCAGTCAGTTCACTTCCTGCCCTCCATCTGATTTCTCGCGCTGACAAACGTAGCCCTGTGACGTCACGTGAAACCCACCTATTGCCAGTCTCTATTGAACAAAAGGTAAAAGGAGCTGCTAACTTGCAATCTACAGCTTCGTGATATAAAATAGAAGAGTGCGTTTTGAGCTTTAGAGGTGTAGACAGACTAATAATAAAAAATTCTAAAGCATGTGAGAATGAAACAAAACAGAACTCCAGGTATGTTTTGGATGAGATAACAACATTATAACACGGTTTAAAGCTCACAAGAGTCATTTTTGTGTAATATAGGACCTTTAACTCATTCATGTCTTGCCGTATTTCACACTCACATTCCAGTTTGTCCTCTGGCCTTCCTCCTTCCAGCAGGGACAGGTAGCACACGATGTCCTTCAGCTGGACGGTGTCTCGGGGCTGGGGCGACGGGTGGGTCTGGGGGGTCTGGGGGCCCGTGGTGGGGGTCCGCAGGGGGGTGGAGCTGCCTTTTATCAGCTTCAGTCCTGGGACAGAACACAGAAAAGGTCAGCAGACAGAGCCCACCTGACATTTGGCCCGAACTGATCGATGCTCCGCCCTTATACCAGGTTCTGCAAATTAGATCTCCACCATTTTCACTAATAGGATTCATTGGGTTGGAGGAGGGGCTGGTGGAATGGTCAGGGAGGAGAATGCATGAAAACAAAGCAGAAAAGCACTCTGATAATCATTTCTTTTTTAGGTCTAGCATGTAATTATGGGAAACTATAATAATAACAACCAAAATCAAAGCTGGGGTACCTGATTTTTAAACTGTGAAAGGAGATAGAAGGTATATAAATTTAAAAAAGACATTGTGCTTGTGTCTGCTGTATAGTTATAATCTATGACATGGTTTCCCAAAGACAGGGTCGTGACCCTCAGGTGAGTCGCAAGAGATTTTTTTTTTGGGTCGCCTTGTCACGATCTACATCTAAGTCTGAAATATGGGCCCAGTCAAGCAGAAGTAAACAGCAAGGCCAAAAATTCAAGTTAATGCATCTGATATAAAAATGTATTGAACAGATACATATGTACTCTAGTTTATGAAACTGTTGACCTTTTGTCTGTACCATTTTTGGTTCTAAAGTTCCCATATGTTTTAAACAGACCATGTATGAAACATGGAACAAAAATTATTTCCCAAATTTCAAAGACCTGCAAATCATGTAAATAAATGGATGTATTTCATCATATCTTGTGTTGTTCCATCTTTCCATCTGTTGATGAAGGTACATGATTTAAAAAAAAAAAGTATTTAAAATGATAAACATTTGCTTGGAAGGACTGACATAATTTATAGAAATAGTTACTTTCATTTTTTTAAGTAATATTAAAGTATTCAGAAGAAAAAAGCTGAGACAAATGATGTAAAATCCTGCACCTTCTACTTGTTTGCACAATTTTCCCTCTGTTACTTTTCCCTCCGTTACCATGACCTTTCTTAAAAAAAAAATCTCATTACTCAAAAAGCAAGAGGTTTTTCAACCTAATCTTGTACCATATGGTAGAAAACTATATGAAGCAAATATTCAAACCAGTTTGTTAAGGATATGGAAGTGAGAACCAAGAGTTATCACTGTTTGGATTTATTGCCCAAAAAGTGCTGCATATTTCAGTCCCTCCGTTACCGACATGAGTTTTTAAATTTTTTGTCAACAACTTGAAAGAATATCACAGGTTTAACTTGACGCTGTTGGAGTGTAACTCTTTCCTACATTCTGATATTTTACTTATTTCAATAGTCCCTCTAGTTTCTGAATAAGAGCTATTTGAATGTAAAAAAACTGCCCCTGTTTCCCTCCGTTACTGCTTGCCCGCACCCATATACAGTATTCTGTCTTCACGATGGCGTCATTATCAGGGTTAGACAGATAGCGAACATACAAAAGAGAGTCCACATGACCATATGGAGAAGACTTGTCTTTACTGACGTTTATCTCTACACTTGTCTCTTTATCTTTTTTGTAAAACTGCAACAGAACACACAAAAAATGTGTATTAACAAATTGTACATGTTCCAGCAAAATAAAAGCCCCACTACCCAGCCCAAAAACAGGACAGAGCTAGCAACAGAAACCAGCAATAGGCAACACCGTGAATGTGTCAATCCACTGTTCAACTTTCAAATATGTATAACAATACAAGAAAACAACATTACAACATAAAACAAGCCAAACTTATGGACAAAGATGCCCCAAGGCTGAGAACAGAGACGTATTTTGTCTGAGACTGCACTGAGAACCGATCGCGCTTGAAGTGAGCACATGCGGCAGAAAACAAAACTTAAAACCAAAGGCGTCCACTAGAGGGCGGCAATCAACTTTATCACAAACAAAATATTATGGAGCTAACATTAAATGTGTCAAGAGTGCATACAGTTCTAGAAAAACACAGGTCCAGCTATTTCATGAGAAGTGTTGAAATGTTAAGACATGTTTTGTATCATTTTTTATGTTTTTGTAATTATTTTAATGACTATTTTGTTCCAGTATTGCTGTTTCAATTGAATGTTGAAAAGAAAAAGAAATGGGCTACATTTAATGTCCAAACAGGAGACTTATGGATCTTTTTATTGCTGCTTCAATGACTGTTCATCATTGTTTAAAACTTGATTAAAACTAATTGTTCAGAGAGACACGATCACTCAATCAACAATAAAATGTCCTCATTAATGTCCAATAATGGTCAAATCCACCTTTATTTTGTGATTTACGAATAATGTCTATTGACTTGGGTTGCCGAGGTTTGTGACTTTTAAACTATGGGTCCCCAGAAAAAAAAAAAAAGTTTTATGAAACACTGATCTATGACATCCATGGATCATTATGTTGTAATTTGGACATTTTAAATCACAATGTTCATCTAAAAAACTTAATAAAAGAAAGAAGTGACTTTCTTAACCAATTTGAAAACTGTGATACCCAATGGGAGCTGATGTCGGGATAAACGTCATCACAACAAAGAGCTGTGAAGCTGTTGGCCCCTCCAATGGATAGCTGCACATCACTCCAGCGAACAGTGATTTTTTTTTTTCTTTGGACCAAAATGACTATGCAACGCTGCCGAATGTTATGTCTATCACTAATGCTGTTCAAATGAGTCGGAGCTCAGGAGCACGTCTCGTTCTTTCTGAAACAAATCGCTCTGAAGCTCTGCCTCGGAGCTCGTCTCGCAGCAGCCGCTCACGTGACCAAAGTGTGGAAGTGTCGGTCCCTCCCCCTACTGCTTCGCTCTGCGTGTCGATCGCTTCAGTGTATCGAAGCGTTTCATTGGCTCGGCGAAGATGCTTCAGAGTGTTCAGCGCACTTCCGTGGTTTGACAAGCGCTAAACTGCTACAGTATAAAAGATGCACCAATATTTCTTAAAAATGTTGGGTAGTGAGGAGTATTGTGTGACGTTAGTGGTGATTTTGGCGACTTTTGGCATTTGTTTCATTTTCGATGGCATCTACAAGTGGAAAAAAGCGATCCAAGGTCACCGATTTTCTTATTTACAGCTGCTATTTATGTTGCTCTTTACATATTATTTTAAATCATTATTATTGTTGTTGTTAGGTACAGTGTATGATCTGCACACAAGTATTGTCTTACACTAACAATACTTCATCGATGCTGAGACACCTGAGACGCCAATGGTTAAATTTGTCCACTAGAGGTCAGTGTTTCTCCGAGGCCTCAGACACGTCGAACCATTTGAGACAATATTGCGACTGAGGTGTCAATGCTTCGCGAGGCTCCATTCGCCCAGCACTACCTATCACTGAATAAGAAAATAAAATTGAAGAACTGAAGTAAGTACAGAGCAGTGGGCATTTGCCGTTGGCGGTGAAAAAAGAAGTTGATCAGCAAAAATAAGCGATAAACGATGGCTCAAACACGCACGAATCACCAAGCCAGGAAACACTAATGACAGTTTCTTTTCTTTTTTTTTTTTTTTTACTTTTTTGTTGTCAAGAATTGTGAATAATTATAAAGTTGCAATATTTTTCCACTCTCCTTCTTTCATATTATGACATCCCTAATTAGCTGTCATCGTTTTAAGATTACAGTCTTACACTAATCACTATTTTCTGTTTTCTGCTTGAGCTGCACTAAAGGGCCTTATTCTGTTCTGTTCTAATGTTGTTTCCTCATCAAAAACAGACCCGGAGTTGTGTTTTGTTTCATTCACACATTTTTAACACACAAATCCCGCATATTTAACTCCATAAACGTTCATTAGAATAATTTGGATAATTTCAGACTTGGAATTTCCAATGTCTCTGTACATCTCTACAAAATGTAAAAGGTAAAAGGTAGCTGTTAACTTGAAAACTACCTCTTTGTGATATCAAAAGGTTGAGCTGATCATTCTCTGTTCCACCTTGTGATGTCATATGGTGATACAGGAAGCGCTCCACTGTGTTTTTAAACTCCATACACCTCCTTACCTAGAATCATTCGGATAATTTCAGACCTGGTATTTCCTTTACTCTAATGAACAAAATGTAAAATGGTAGCTGTTAACTTGAATCATGACATCACAAGGTGGAACAGAGCATTTTGAGATTTGGAGATGTAGAAGAGACTAATAATAAAAGAATTCTCAAACATGTGTGAATGAAACAAAACACAAGTCCAGGTCTACTTTGATGAGGTAACAACATTTTAAAAAGACTTAAAGGTGCTCTGCGTATCATTTCTAGGAGAGGGTCCGCCACCTGCTGGTGTCCATGGTTATTGCTTTGTCTAGAACAGACATGTCAAACTCAGGCCCAGGTTTGTCTGTTAGCAACATAACTCAAAAAGTTATGGACCTGCAATATAATTACATTTTGGCCCGGAAGAAATCCTGGATTCTGGATATCAAATTATAGTACTAGAGCGGCCTGTTTCCACCGGCTAAAGATAGAAATGACTAGGGATGGACATTCTTTATTTAAAATTTGGATAACACGTTAGTTTAGGAACCACATATTAATAGCTAGTTAATAGTAAAATACATAATAAGTGCTTAATTACATCTTTGTTAGTATTTATAAAGTACTTTTAATGCATTTTTGTCTAAGGCCGTATTTTGCAAGTACTAACGGATTAACTATTTTCTTCCCATTAAAGTGGTGGAGATTATAATTGATGTTTTTGAGCAGACACTGAAATCTTAATAAGCATTAATAAGTGTTTGATTAATACCAACTAATAGCTAAGTAACAACTAAATAGCAAAACCAATTACCACTTAGTTACCTATTAATATATGGTCCCTAAATTAAAGTGTTACCACATTTTGTTATTATTTTATATTTTGCTTGTTCTGGATTCAGTGTTTAAGCAAAACTATGATTAAACATTTATTTTAATATGAAACAAAAGAAAACATGCAGATGTTGTCGAATTTTTTCAATAAAT